GGGGGGTCACAGGGCTGGGGGCACCTCCCGGGCACCGCAGAGCCCCCCCAGTGCCCCCCAGTGCCCCCCAGTAACCTCTTAGGGGGGTACAGGCACTGGGAGCAGCACAGCTGGCTCAGCCTGGTGTCCCCACCAGTGCCTCCAGTGCCCTCCCAGTGCCCCCCAAACCCTCACCAGTGCCCTCCCAGTGCTCCCAGTGCCCCCCAAACCCTCACCAGTGCACTCCCAGTGCCCCCCGTGCCCTCCCAGTGCCTCTTAAACCCTCATCAGTGCACTCCCAGTGCCTCCAGTGCCATCCCAGTGCCTCTTAAACCCTCATCAGTGCCCTCCCAGTGCCCCCAGTGCCCCCCAAACCCTCACCAGTGCCCTCCCAGTGCCCCCAGTGCCCCCCAAACCCTCACCAGTGCCCTCCCAGTGCCTCCAGTGCCATCCCAATGCCTCTTAAACCCTCACCAGTGCCCTCCCAGTGCCTCCCAGTGCCTGTTTGGGGTGCACCACACCAGCGAGCAGCACAGCTGGCTCAGCCCAGTGTCCCTCAAACCTGCACCAGTCCCTCCCAGTACCTCCCAAACCCTCACCAGTCCCTCCCAGTGCCCCCAGTACCTGTTGGGGGTGCAGAGGGACAGCAGCACGGTGCTCTCCCACACCAGGGAGCAGTAGAGCTGGCTCAGCTTGCCCAGCACGCTCAGCCCCAGCTGGGACCCCCACTGGTTCACCGAGATGGCCCTGATCTCGCTCTGGGGGGGAACAGCAGGACCCCCAAAACCCCTGAGACCCCAAACCCCTCCCAAACTCCTTTTGAACCCCCCCAAATCCCATTCAACACCCCAAACCCCTTCTCAACCCCTTTTAAAACCCCCCAACTACCACTCAATCCCCCAAAACCACACTCAACTCTCCCCAAACCCCACCCCAACCCCCCAAACCCCTTTTAAAACCCCGCAAACCCAACTCAATGCCCCCCAAACCCCATTCAACCCCCCAACCCCCTTCTCAACCCCTTTTAAAACCCCCCAAATACCACTCAATCCCCCAAAACCACACTCAACTCTCCCCAAACCCCACCCCAACTCCCCCAAGCCTCTCCCCCATTACCTTTCCCACACCCACACCCCTATTCAAGTCCCCAAATCCCTTTTAAAATCCCCCAAACCCCACTCAATGCCCCCCAAACCCCATTCAACCCCTCCGAAACCCCTTCCAAACTCCACCCCAACACCCCCAAACCCCTTTTAAAACCCCCTCAAACCCCACTCAAACCTCCCCAAACCCCACTCAACCCCCCAAGTCTCTCCCCCATTACCTGCCCCACTCCCAAACCCCACTCAAAACCCCCAAACCCTTTTTAAAACCCCCCAGACCTCCCCAAACCCCACTCAAACCCCCCAAACCCCACTCAACCCCCCAAGTCTCTCCCCCATTACCTGTCCCACCCCAAAACCCCACTCAAAACCCCCAAACCCTTTTTAAAACCCCCCAAACCCTTTCCAAACCCCACTCAAACCCCCCAAACCCCATTCAACCCTTCACCAAACCCCACTCAAACCCCTCAAACCCCTTCCAAACCCCACTCAAACCTCCTCAAACCCCACTCAACCCCCCCAAGTCTCTCCCCCATTACCTGTCCCACCCCAAAACCCCATTCAAACCCCCCAAAACCCCATTCAAACCCTCCAAACCCCATTCAACCCCCACCAAACCCCTTCCAAACCCCACTCAAACCTCCCCAAACCTCACCCCAACCCCCCCAAGTCTCTCCCCCATTACCTGTCCCACTCCCAAACCCCACTCAAAACCCCCAAACCCTTTTTAAAACCGCCCAAACCCTTTCCAAACCCCACTCAAACACCCCAAACCCCATTCAACACCTGCCCAAACCCCTTCCAAACCCCTTCCAAACCCCACTCAAACCCCATTCAACCCTTCACCAAACCCCTTCCAAACCCCACTCAAACCCCCCAAACCCTTTCCAAACCCCACTCAAACCTCCCCAAACCCCACCCAACCCCCCAAGTCTCTCCCCCGTTACCTGTCCCACCCTGCAGGTGTGCACGAACATCATGATGAAGGCGTGGGCAGCGGTCAGGGCGTGCAGCAGGGGGGTGGCCTGGGCCGAGAGGGTGGCATCGGGCACGGCCCCGGCCCCGGCCAGCTCCCGCAGCAGCACCGAGCCCCCCGGGGCCTCGATGGGCCGGTGCAGCGGCTCCAGCGCCGACAGCACGGCCTCCAGCTGCACCAGCCCCTCCTGCAGCACCTTGGGCTCGTGGGAGAGAGTCTGGGGGGGATAAAAAGGGGACATCGGGGTCACTGAGGGGGTCACTGAACCCTCCTGAGGGTCACTGAACCCTCCTGCAGCACCTTGGGCTCGTGGGAGAGAGTCTGGGGGGACAGAGAGGGGACATCGGGGTCACTGAGGGGGTCACTGAACCCTCCTGCAGCACCTTGGGCTCGTGGGAGAGAGTCTGGGGGGGATAAAGAGGGGACATCGGGGTCACTGAACCCTCCTGAGGGTCACTGAACCCTCCTGAGGGTCACTGAACCCTCCTGCAGCACCCTGGGCTCGTGGGAGAGAGTCTGGGGGGGATAAAGAGGGGACATGGGGGTCACTGAACCCTCCTGGGGGTCACTGAACCCTCCTGCAGCACCCTGGGCTCATGGGAGAGAGTCTGGGGGGACAGAGAGGGGACACTGGGGTCACTGAGGGGGTCACTGAACCCTCCTGCAGCACCCTGGGCTCGTGGGAGAGAGTCTGGGGGGGATAAAGAGGGGACAGAGAGGGGACATCGGGGTCACTGAACCCTCCTGGGGGTCACTGAACCCTCCTGCAGCACCCTGGACTCGTGGAGGGGACAGAGAGGGGACATCGGGGTCACTGAGGGGGTCACTGAACCCTCCTGCAACACCCTGAGCTCGTGGGACAGTGACTGAGGCCACGGAGGGGACAGAGCGAGTGTCATCAGGGTCCATTCCAGGATGGATTTGCAGACCCCTGAGACCCCCAGGATAAATCTTCAGCCCCCACAGTGCCCCCAGCCCACACCAGGATAGATTTGTAGCACCCCAAGATGGATTTGCAGCCCCTCAGGACAGATTTGCAGCCCCCCAGGAAGGATTTGCAGCCCCCAGGACAGATTTGCAGCCCCCAGGACAGATTTGCAGCCCCCAGGACAGATTTGCAGCCCCCCAGGAAGGATTTGCAGCCCCCAGGACAGATTTGCAGCCCCTCAGGACAGATTTGCAGCCCCCAGGACAGATTTGCAGCCCCCAGGACAGATTTGCAGCCCCCCAGGAAGGATTTGCAGCCCCCCAGGAAGGATTTGCAGCCCCCCAGGACAGATTTTCAGCCCCCCAGGAAGGATTTGCAGCCCCCAGGACAGATTTGCAGCCCCCAGGAAGGATTTGCAGCCCCTCAGGACAGATTTGCAGCCCCCAGGACAGATTTGCAGCCCCTCAGGACAGATTTGCAGCCCCTCAGGACAGATTTGCAGCCCCCCAGGACAGATTTGCAGCCCCCAGGACAGATTTGCAGCCCCCAGGAAGGATTTGCAGCCCCCAGGACAGATTTGCAGCCCTCCAGGAAGGATTTTCAGCCCCCCAGCCATACCAGGATGGATTTGCAGACCCCAGGAAGGATCTGCAGCCCCCCAGCCATACCAGGATGGATTTGCAGCCCCCCAGGAAGGATTTGCAGCCCCCCAGGAAGGATTTGCAGCCCCTCAGGACAGATTTTCAGCCCCTCAGGACAGATTTGCAGCCCCCCAGGAAGGATTTTCAGCCCCCCAGGACAGATTTTCAGCCCCCCAGGACAGATTTGCAGCCCCCCAGGAAGGATTTTCAGCCCCCCAGGAAGGATTTGCAGCCCCCCAGCCATACCAGGATGGATTTGCAGACCCCAGCCACGGCCTGGCAGGCTGCAGAGGTGGGGAAGTCCACGGGCAGGTTGGGCAGCCCCAGGATGGTGACGAGCGGCCGCAGCCCCCGCTGGGCCACGAACTCCTGGCAGTGATCGTCCGTGGTGTTGTTGCTCAGGATGGACTCCACGAACTTCATCTGGGACAAAAGGGGGTCAGGGGGGCTCTGAACCCCCTCAGAGGGGGGTCAGGACCAGGGGGACCCCGCAGGGACAGTGCTGGGCCTCACCACGTTGAGGATGTAGTCCATGAGCGGGATGGGGATGCGCTCCTCCGTGCCCACCACGCTGCAAGCGCAGAGGGGATGGTGAGGGGAGTGTGATCCCCCCAGAACATAAAATCAGAGTTAATGAGGCTGGGAGAGATCTCTGCGACCATCCCATCACCACCAAGTGTCACATTCAGGCTTGGCTTTAACTCTTCTCTGCCAGACCCTTTCTGGGAAGTTTTTGCCTATTTCCAGCCTAAATTTTTCCCCGGTCTCTCTTCTCCAGGCTGAACCCCTTCCCCAGCTCCCCCAGGATCCTCTAGACCCTTCCCCAGCTCCCCTAGACCTTTTCCCAGCTCCCTCAGAACCCTCCACAGCCCTTCCCAGCTCCCCCAGGATCCTCCAGACCCTTCCCCAGCTTCCCCAGGACCTCCCAGACCCTTCCCCAGCTCCCCCAGGATCCTCCAGACCCTTCCCCAGCTTCCCCAGGACCTCCCAGACCCTTCCCCAGCTCCCCCAGGATCCTCTAGACCCTTCCCCAGCTCCTCTAGACCCCTACCCAGCTCCCTCAGAACCCTCCACAGCCCTTCCCAGCTCCCCCAGGATCCCCCAGACCCCTCCTCAGCTCCCCCAGAATCATCCAGACCCTTCCCCAGCTCCCCTAGACCCCTACCCAGCTCCCTCAGAACCCTCCACAGCCCTTCCCAGCTCCCCCAGGATCCCCCAGACCCCTCCTCAGCTCCCCCAGAATCATCCAGACCCTTCCCCAGCTCCCCCAGACCCCTCCCCAGCTCCCCCAGGATCCTCCAGACCCTTCCCCAGCTTCCCCAGGATCCTCCAGACCCTTCCCCAGCTCCCCTAGGATCCTCCAGACCCTTCCCCAGCTTCCCCAGGACCTCCCAGACCCTTCTTCAGCTCCCCCAGAATCATCCAGACCCTTCCCCAGCTCCCCCAGACCCCTCCCCAGCTCCCCCAGGATCCTCCAGACCCTTCCCCAGCTTCCCCAGGACCTCCCAGACCCTTCCTCAGCTCCCCTAGGATCCTCTCCACCCCAGACCATCCAAAAACCAGCACTGAACAGAGATTCCTGGGGACACTAAAGTGACCTGGGGACACTCCAGATCTTTGGGGACACTCCAGATCTTTAGGGACACCCCAGACCCCCCCAGCCCGCCCTGTCCTGCTCACGTCTGGCTGGGCTCTGCCTCGCTCTGCTGGGCAGCCCCGAAGCTCTGCATGGCCTGCACTTCTTCCTCCTCCTCATCCTCGCTCGAGGCCTCCTCGGCGGCGTGGGGCGAGCGCGGGGGCGGCGCGGCCGCCGTCCCGTCCGCCTTCTGCATCGACGGCTTCTGGCAGATGTACTTGGGGTCCCGGCCCAGGCTGCAGATCTCCTCCAGCAGCTGCGGAGGGGATGGCATTTAGGGGGGGCCTGGACAGACTTTTGGGGGGCCCCGAAGTCCCACAAGTGTCCCCAGGTTGTCACCTTGATGATGGCGGTGGTGGCGTCGGTCTTGAGCGTGGGCTGGTGCCGCATCAGCTCGTCCACGGCGCTGCCCAGGTTGGAGGCTGTGTCACCTGGGGGGCAGAGAGTGTTTTGGGGGGGCAGAACAGGCTTTGGGGGTGCAGAGCAGGTTTTGAGGGGAGCAGAAGTGCTTTTGGGAGTTAAACAAATAGGGGATGATGCCTAATATAAGCACAAATGCCCCCAAAAAATGAGAGAGCTATTTAAATGTTAAGATGGTATGTTGCTCAACAGCTGGTGGGATCCCCAGTGTTCCCCAGTACCCTCAGTGTCCCAGTCTCCCCAGTACCCCAATATTCCAGTGTCCTCAGTCCCCCAGTGTCCCCAATATCCCCCAGCATTCCCAGTAATCCCAGTATCCCCAGTATTCCCAGTATCCCTGGTATCCCCAGTGTCCTCAGTACCCCAGTATCCCAAATATCCCCCAGCATTACCAGTATCCCAGTGTCCCCCATTATCCCCGGTATCCCCAGTCCCCCAGCACCCCCAGAATTTCCAGTATCCCCGGTATCCCCAGTGTCCTCAGTCCCCCAGTGTCCCCAGTATCCCCCAGCATTCCCAGTATCCCCAGTACCCCTGGTATCCCCAGTGTCCTCAGTCCCCCAGCATTCCCAGTATCCCAGTATCCCCAGTATTCCCAGTACTCCAAGTATCCCCAGTACCCTCAGCCCCCCAGTGTCCCCAGTACCTCCAGTATCCCAGTGTCCCCCATTATCCCTGGTATCCTTAGTGCCCCAGCACCCCCAGAATTTCCAGTATCCCCGGTATCCCCAGTGTCCTCAGTCCCCAGTGTCCCCAGTATCCCCCAGCATTCCCAGTACTCCCAGTATCCCCAGTACCCCTGGTATCCCCAGTGTCCTCAGTCCCCCAGCATTTTCAGTATCCCAGTATCCTCAGTACCTCCAGTATCCCAGTACCCCCAGTACTCCCAGTATCCCTGGTATCCCCAGTGTCCTCAGTCCCCCAGCATTCCCAGTATCCCAGTGTCCCCAGTATCCCCAGTACCTCCAGTATCCCAGTGTCCCCAGTATTCCCAGTACCCCCAGTACCCCTGGTATCCCCAGTGTCCTCAGTCCCCCAGTATTCCCAGTAACCCAGTGCCCTCAACATCCCAGTGTCCCCAGTATTCCCAGTACCCCCAGTATCCCTGGTATCCCCCGTGTCCTCAGTCCCCCACCATTCCCAGTATCCCAGTGTCCCCAGTATTCCCAGTATCCCCAGTACCCTCAGCCCCCCAGTGTCCCCAGTGTCCCCAGTATCCCCCAGTATTCCCAGTACCCCCAGTATCCCTGATATCCCCAGTGTCCTCAGTCCCCCAGCATTCCCAGTATCCCAGTGCCCTCAGTATCCCCAGTACCTCCAGTATCCCAGTGTCCCCAGTATTCCCAGTATCCTTGGTATCCCCAGTGTCCTCAGTCCCCCAGCATTCCCAGTATCCCAGTGTCCCCAGTATTCCCAGTACTCCAAGTATCCCCAGTAACCTCAGCCCCCCAGTGTCCCCAGTACCTCCAGTATCCCCCAGCATTACCAGTATCCCAGTGTCCCCCATTATCCCCGGTATCCCCAGTGTCCTCAGTCCCCCAGTGTCCCCAGTATCCCCGGTATCCCCAGTGTCCTCAGTCCCCCAGTGTCCCCAGTACCTCCAGTGTCCCCAGTACCTCCAGTGTCCCCAGTACCTCCAGTATCCCCAGTAGCCCCAGTACCCCCAGTCCCCCAGTATCCTTGGTATCCCCAGTGTCCTCAGTCCCCCAGCATTCCCAGTACCCCAGTGTCCTCAGTCCCCCAGTGTCCCCAGTATCCCCCAGCATTCCCAGTACTCCCAGTATCCCCAGTATTCCCAGTATCCCAGTATCCCCAGTATTCCCAGTATCCCCAGTATCCCCGGTACCCCCAGTCCCCGGCAGTGCCGCGCTCACCGAGGGGGTCGGAGCTGCGGCGGCGCCGCATGGCGGGCAGGTAGTCGGGGGACAGCAGCACCTTGAAGAGGCGCTCGAAGGGCTGGCACTGCACGAAGCTCTGCAGCCCCCGCGCGTTCAGGCACAGCGCGCTGAACACGTTGGGCAGCGAGCCCAGCACCTCCCGCGTCGCCGGCACCTGCGCAGGTGAGGGGTTACGGCACACCCGGGGCAGGTGTGGGGCACGCACGGGGCAGGGGGAGGGGCTGTACCACACCTGGGGCATGTGTGGGGCACGCACGGGGCAGGGTGAGGGGCTGGGGCACACCTGGGGCATGCACAGGGCAGGTGAGGGGCTGTACCACACCTGGGGCAGGTGTGGGGCACGCACGGGGCAGGGTGAGGGGCTGGGGCACACCTGGGGCATGCACAGGGCAGGTGAGGGGCTGTACCACACCTGGGGCAGGTGTGGGGCACGCACGGGGCAGGGTGAGGGGCTGGGGCACACCTGGGGCATGCACAGGGCAGGTGAGGGGCTGTACCACACCTGGGGCAGGTGTGGGGCACGCACGGGGCAGGGTGAGGGGCTGGGGCACACCTGGGGCATGCACAGGGCAGGTGAGGGGCTGTACCACACCTGGGGCAGGTGTGGGGCACGCACGGGGCAGGGTGAGGGGCTGGGGGCACACCTGGGCCAGATCAGGAGCTCGGGGCACACCTGATGTGGGGCAGGGGCTGGGGGCACACCTGATGTGGGGCAGGGGCTGGGGGCACACCTGGGCCAGGTCAGGAGCTCGGGGCACACCTGGTGTGGGGCAGGAGCTGGGGGCACACCTGGGCCAGGTCAGGGGCTGGGGGCACACCTGGTGTGGGGCAGGTGGTGGGGGCACACCTGGTGTGGGGCAGGTGGTGGGGGCACACCTGATGTGGGGCAGGGGCTGGGGCACACCTGGGCCAGGTCAGGAGCTCGGGGCACACCTGATGTGGGGCAGGAGCTGGGGGCACACCTGATGTGGGGCAGGGGCTGGGGGCACACCTGGGCCAGGTCAGGAGCTTGGGGCACACTTGGTGTGGGGCAGGGGCTGGGGGCACACCTGATGTGGGGCAGGAGCTCGGGGCACACCTGGTGTGGGGCAGGAGCTGGGGGCACACCTGGGCCAGGTCAGGGGCTCGGGGCACACCTGGTGTGGGGCAGGTGGTGGGGCAGACACTGGGCAGGTGTGGGGCAGGTGGTGGGGCAGACACTGGGCAGGTGTGGGGCAGAGCTGGGACAGACACCGGGCAGGTGCGGCACCAGCATGGGCAGGTGAGCAGCAGACAGGGAGGCAGGTCTGGGAGGAGCTGGGGCAGGTGTGGCACCAGCACAGGTGGCAGGCACGGGACAGGTGTGGGGACAGAGGCAGACCTGGAGCAGGTGTAGGAGGGGAAACAGGACAGGTGCAAAGCAGGTGTGGGGAGAAGGGAAGGGCAGATGTGGCAGCAGTGGTGGAACAGGTGCAGGGCAGGAAGTGGAACAGATGTGAAGACAGGTGAGGGGACACAGGTGCTGGGAAACACAAGGACAGAAATGAGGGAACAGGTGAGGAGACAAGTCAGGGGACAGGAACAAAGACGTGAAATGGAACAGGAGATGGAACAAACAAGTGGCAGGTGCAGGGCAGGTGTGGGAGGGTGCACAGCATGGGACAGGTGTGGGAGCAGCACAGAGACAGCTGATGGGACAGCGAGAGGACAAATGAGGCAACAGAGGTGAGGACAGGTGCTGGACAGGTGAGTGACCTCGCTGGACAGGTGAGTGACCTTGCTCATGGCCTCCGTGAGCAGCACGTGCAGCGAGAGGATACGCAAGGAAACAGGTGAGGGAGCAGATGAAGGGACAGACAAGGAGACAGGTGACAAGCGCAGGATAGGCGAGGTGACAGGTGTAGGACAGGTGACAGGTAGCACAGGTGAGCCCCACTCACATCCTCAATGAGCAGAGCGTGCAGTGTGATGTCAGTGAGAGGATACACAGGAGGACAAGCCAGAGGGCAGATAAAGGGACACACAAGGACACAGGGGACAGGTGCAGGACAGGTGACAGGTAGCACAGGTGAGCCCCACTCACATCCTTGATGAGCAGAGCGTGCAGCATGACGTCGGTGAGAGGATACACAGGAGGACAAGCCAGAGGGCAGATAAAGGGACACACAAGGACACAGGGGACAGGTGCAGGACAGGGGACAGGTAGCACAGGTGAGCCCCACTCACGTCCTTGATGAGCAGAGTGATGTCGGTGAGAGGATACACAGGAGGACAAGCCAGAGGGCAGATAAAGGGACACACAAGGACACAGGGGACAGGTGCAGGACAGGTGACAGGTAGCACAGGTGAGCCCCACTCACGTCCTTGATGAGCAGAGCGTGCAGCATGACATCGGTGAGAGGATACACAGGAGGACAAGCCAGAGAGCAGATAAAGGGATACAAGGACACAAGGGACAGGTGTAGGACAGGTGATGGGTAGCACAGGTGAGCCCCACTCACGTCCTTGATGAGCAGAGCGTGCAGTGTGATGTCAGTGAGAGGATACACAGGAGGACAAGCCAGAGGGCAGATAAAGGGATACAAGGACACAGGGGACAGGTGCAGGACAGGTGACAGGTAGCACAGGTGAGCCCCACTCACATCCTCAATGAGCAGAGCGTGCAGTGTGATGTCAGTGAGGGGATACACAGGAGGACAAGTGAGAGGGCAGATAAAGGGATACAAGGACACAGGGGACAGGTGCAGGACAGGTGACAGGTAGCACAGGTGAGCCCCACTCACGTCCTTGATGAGCAGAGCGTGCAGCATGACGTCGGTGAGGCCGTTGTCCTGCAGCGAGGACAGCAGCGAGGGCTCCTGGAACACGAAGACCGTCACCACCTCGGTCGCTGCGGCGGAGGAGAGAGGGGGGCACTGAGGGCAGGTAGAGCACCTGGCGGGGTCCCCGCTCCGTGCCCGCCCCGCGCTGCCCAGGTGGGGCCGGGGCGTGGCTCACCCAGCAGGAACAGCGAGGGGCCGTAGTACTCGGCGTTGCTGATGATGTGCTTCAGCGAGGTGGGCAGCGAGCCGTCCATCACTGCGGGGACACGCGCGGTCAGTGCCACCGCCCCTGCCACCCCACCCCACCCCGGCGGGGTTTGGGGACATCGGGGACCACCCACCACTTGGGGACATCGGGGGCCACCCACCGTGCCGGATGCCGTCGGAGAAGGCGGGGTCTTGGATGGCTTTTTTGAGGAAGTTCAGCATGGATTTGAGCAAAGCGGCGCGCTGGGGGATGCACTGCACTCCTGGGGGGGACACGGGGAGAGGATTGGGGGGCACGTGAGGAAATTGGGGTGTCCCCAGAGAGCAAAGCAGATGTGGAAAAGGATTTGGGGTCTTCGTGGGAGGGGAATTGGGGTGTTCACATGGGGAAGGAAATGGGGTGTCCATATAGGGATGGCACTGGGGTGTCCATGTAAGGAAGGGATTGGGGTGTCTATGTAGGGAGAATTGGGGTATCCACATAGGGATCAAACTGGGGTGTCCATAAAAGAGGAATTAGGATGTCCATATAGAGAAGGAATTGGAGCGTCCATGTAGGAGGATTTGGGTGTTGTATAGGAGCATTTGGGGTGGCCATACAAGACAAATTTGTGTGTCCATATAGCAAGAATTTGGGTGTCCATATAGGAAAAATTTGGGTGTCTGTATAGGAGGAATTGGGGTGTCTGTAACAGGAGGAACTGGGGTGTCTGTAACAGGAGGAACTGGGGTCCAGTGAAGTCCCCGCTGTCCCCACCGTGTCCCCAGCCCCGGGAGGCACCTACCACCGCGTGGGGAGGGGGTGGCAGCGCTGGTGCTGGGCACGGCTGGCGGGGCTGGCGGCACCGGGTCTGGCCGGGCCTCAGCCGAGGGACCGGGGCTGCTCTCCATGGCCACGTCGGTCACTGCGGGGGGACGGCGACATTGCAGGGGGAACAGGTGACACCACGGAGGGAACAGGTGACACCACAGCGGGGACACTGCTGCTCCCACCCCGCTGCTCACCCTCCATGTCCGTCTCCATGTCCTCGCCCTCGGGCAGGGTGGCAGCAGGCGGGCGCTGCACTTTGGGCTTGATGACAAAGGGACACTCGCGACGGCACAGGTCCACCTCGTGCTGGGGGGGACAGAGCCTCAGCACCCCAAACCACCCCAGGGAACCCCCAAAAGCAGGGCAGGGGAAGGGGGGGCAGCACCTCGAGGCGGTAGATGAAGATGGACAGCCCGCTGTGCGACTGGAAGGCGGCCATGTCCAGGTTGGTGATGAGATCCACCACCCGCACCGCCCGCGTGACGAACGTGATCTGGTCCTGCTCGTCCCCCAGGAACTTGATCACCTGGCGAGGGGACAGAGGCAGGTGAGGCAATCCCCGAGGCACCCCAGAGAACCCACAGGTGAGAAGAGCTCACCTTGAGCAGCGCCTCCATCATGCCGCACGACACCAGCGCCTCGCCGCCCGCGTCGTAGCTGGCCAGGTGGTACAGGAAGGAGAAGAGCGCCGTGGCGAACTGGTGGGGGTAGGGCTCCATGGAAGGGTCTGGGGGTGGACAGGTGTGGTTAGGGCGGGTCACACCCCCCCAGGTGACCCCCCAGCCCCCCGGCACGCACCGATCATGGCCTGGATGCAGTTGCGCACCAGCACGGGCAGGAAGCCGTGGTAGGAGGCGGTGCCGGTGCAGTCGATGATGCTGCTGAGCTTCGGCGTGCGCTCCAGGTGCACGATGGACGTCAGCGTCCGCAGGGACGCCGCCTTGATGTCCTGGCAGGGACAGGCACGTGAGGGACACGTGAGGGACAGGGGAGGGACACTCGTGTCCTTGATGGGCAACAGGTGCAGCACAGTGACATCAGTGAGGGGATACACGGGGACAGGTGATGTGACAGGGAAGGAACAGGTGTGGGACAGGTGAGGGACACTCGTGTCCTCGATAGGCAGCATGTGCAGAGGAGACACACAAGATAAAGATACAGATACAACCCAGGTGAAATGACAGGAGCACGAGAGGTGTAGGAACGTACAGGACACGTTAGGTGACAGATGTGGGACAAGTGAGGTGACACATGCAGGACAAGTGAGGTGACAGCTGCAGGACAGGTGAGCCACATTCAGATCCTTGGTGAGCAGCATGTGCAGCAAGTCAGTGAAGGAACACACAAAGGGACAGGTGAGGGGACACACAAAGGGACAGGTGAGGGGACACACACGAGGAGACAGCTGAGGGGACACACAGGGACACAGGTGAGGGGACACACAAAGGGACAGCTGAGGGGACACACAAAGGGACAGGTGAGGGGACACACAAAGGGACAGGTGAGGGGACACAAAGGGACAGCTGAGGGGACACACAAGGGGACAGCTGAGGGGACAGGTGAGGGGACACACGGGGAGACAGGTGAGGGGACACACAAGGGGACAGGTAAGGGGACACACAAGGGGACAGGTGAGGGGACACACAAAGGGACAGGTGAGGGGACACACAGGGGACAGGTGAGGGGACACACAAGGGGAAAGGTGAGGGGACACACAAGGGGAAAGGTGAGGGGACACACAAGGGGACAGGTGAGGGGACACACAAGGGGACAGGTGAGGGGACACACAGGGACACAGGTGAGGGGACACACAAAGGAACAGGTAAGGGGACACACAAAGGAACAGGTAAGGGGACACACAAAGGGACAGGTAAGGGGACACACAAAGGGACAGGTAAGGGGACACACAAAGGGACAGGTGAGGGGACACACAAAGGGACAGGTGAGGGGACACACAAAGGGACAGGTGAGGGGACACACAGGGATACAGGTGAGGGGACACACAAAGGGACAGGTGAGGGGACACACAAAGGGACAGGTGAGGGGACACACAAGGGGACAGACAAAAGCAGTCTCAAGGGGACATCTGAGGAAACAGGTGAAGGGGGCAGATGAAGAGACAAATGAAAAAACAGCCAAAGGGACAGGTGAGGGAACAGGTAACAGGACACATGAAGGAACAGCTGAGGGGACACACAGGGACACACAGAGGGACAGCTGAAGGGACAGGGCTCGGCCCCAGGCGTCCCCAGGTCTCACCATCAGCTGCTTGTCGGTGATCTGCAGCACGTCCACCAGCTCCTCGATCAGCCCGTTGTACAGGATGCTGTTGGCCGACTCCTGCAGCGCGTTGGAGTACACTGCGGAGACGGGGGGTCACCCCAACTGCCCCAGGACCCCCACAGAGCAGCCCCTGAGCCCCCCCAAAGCCACCCCCAATTAAAACAAGCCCTAACGAAGGCCCACCCAGGATGGAGATGGCGTGGAGCCGCGCCTGCACCGCCTGCAGCCGCTTCTTGTGGTTGGAGAAGCCGTGGGCCAGGCGGATGTGGGTGAACAGCAGCATCTGAGAGGGGCACAGAGGATTTGGGGTGGTCAGGAGGGTCTGGGGGTCACCCCACAACCCTCGATGTCACCCCACGCACCTGTTTGTCCTTGGGGATGCTGTACATCTTGGTCAGGGACTCCATGATCTCCGAGGGGCTCTCTGAAATCTGCGGGAGAAGAAAAAGAGAAATAAGGAGGGGCAGAAGCAAAATTGGAGGGCAGGAAACAAAACTGGGAGGGGAGGGGACAAAACTGGGGTGTGGACAGACAAGACTGGGGGCAGAGAACAAAACTGGGGTGCAAGGGACAAAATGGGGTTCAGGGGACAAAACTGAGGAACAGAGAACAAAACTGGGGTGCAAGGGACAAAATGGGGTTCAGGAGACAAAACTGAGGAACAGAGAACAAAACTGGGGTGCAAGGGACAAAATGGGGTTCAGGGGACAAAACTGAGGAACAGAGAACAAAACTGGGGTGCAAGGGACAAAATGGGGTTCAGGGGACAAAACTGAGGAACAGAGAACAAAACTGGGGTGCAAGGGACAAAATGGGGTTCAGGGGACAAAACTGAGGAACAGAGAACAAAACTGGGGTGCAAGGGACAAAATGGGGTTCAGGGGACAAAAGTGAGAAACAGAGAACAAAACTGGGGTGCAAGGGACAAAATGGGGTTCAGGGGAAAAAACTGAGGAACAGAAAACAAAACTGGGGTGCAAGGGACAAAATGGGGTTCAGGGGACAAAACTGAGGAACAGAGAACAAAACTGGGGTGCAAGGGACAAAATGGGGTTCAGGAGACAAAAGTGAGAAACAGAGAACAAAACTGGGGTGCAAGGGACAAAATGGGGTTCAGGGGACAAAAGTGAGGAACAGAGAACAAAACTGGGGTGCAAGGGACAAAATGGGGTTCAGGGGACAAAACTGAGGAACAGAGAACAAAACTGGGGTGCAAGGGACAAAATGGGGTTCAGGGGACAAAACTGAGGAACAGAGAACAAAACTGGGGTGCAAGGGACAAAATGGGGTTCAGGGGACAAAACTGAGGAACAGAGAACAAAACTGGGGTGCAAGGGACAAAATGGGGTTCAGGGGACAAAACTGAGGAACAGAGAACAAAACTGGGGTGCAAGGGACAAAATGGGGTTCAGGGGACAAAACTGAGGAACAGAGAACAAAACTGGGGTGCAAGGGACAAAATGGAGTTCAGGGGACAAAACTGAGGAACAGAGAACAAAACTGGGGTGCAAGGGACAAAATGGGGTTCAGGGGACAAAACTGAGGAACAGAAAACAAAACTGGGGTGCAAGGGACAAAATGGGGTTCAGGGGACAAAACTGAGGAACAGAGAACAAAACTGGGGTGCAAGGGACAAAATGGGGTTCAGGGGACAAAACTGAGGAACAGAGAACAAAACTGGGGTGCAAGGGACAAAATGGGGTTCAGGGGACAAAAGTGAGAAACAGAGAACAAAACTGGGGTGCAAGGGACAAAATGGGGTTCAGGGGACAAAACTGAGGAACAGAGAACAAAACTGGGGTGCAAGGGACAAAATGGGGTTCAGGGGACAAAACTGAGGAACAGAGAACAAAACTGGGGTGCGGAGGGTCAAGATTGAGTGCAGAGAACAAAATGGGGGGGGCAGAGGACAAAACTGGGGGGCAGGAACAAAAGGGCAGTGCAGGGCATGGGGGAGCCCTGGCCCAAGCAGAGACCCCCCCCAAATCAAGGTGCCCCCCACGCTCACCTTGTCCAGCTGCTCGATGTGGATGTAGTGCAAGGTGGTGCTGGTGGCCTGCAGGGGTCACAGGAGGTCAAGGGGTGGCCCCGGTGCTTTGGGGGCCTCCTCGTGACCCCAAATGTCCCCAGTGTCACTCACCCTCTTGTCCACCTTCACCTCGACGCCCGGCTCGGCGTAGAACTCGAAGTGCAGGGTGGTGGCACTGGGGGGGTATTTCTGGGGAGGGGACACAGGGGTGAGATGGGGACAGCAGGGTCCCCTCCCCTGGGGGGACACAGGGAAAGGGGTGGGGGGACGCAACAGGGGTGACAAAGCGGTGCTGGGGACATGGGAGGTGACACAGAGGGATAAGACAGCGCTGGGGACCCCAGGATGGCATCAAGGATGTGACAAAGGCACACAAGGTCATGTGTGTGCCCCAGGACAGGACAGGAGAACACAGGTGAGTTTGGGGGACCCCCAAAACAGGAAAAAGTGACACAGGTGAGCTCTGGGGACCCCCAGAACAGGACAAAGTGACACAGGTGAGCTCTGGGGACACCCAGAACAGGACAAAGTCACACAGGTGAGCTCTGGGGACCCCCCAGGACAAGACAAGGTGACACAGGTGAGCTCTGGGGACCCCCAGAACACGACAAAGTGACACAGGTGAGCTCTGGGGACCCCCAAAACAGAACAAAGTGACACAAGTGAGTTCTGGGGACCCCCCAAGGACAGGATAAACTGACACAGGTGAGCTCTGGGGACCCCCAAAACAGAACAAAGTGACACAGGTGAGTTCTGGGGACCCCAAGAACAGGATAAACTGACACAGGTGAGCTCTGGGGACACCCAGGACAGGACAAGGTGACCCAGACGAGCTCAGGGTGACCCGCAGGTGCCACTCACCATCATGTGCAAGTCCCGACAGCACTCAGCCAGCCCGAATCCATTCTCCTTTCCACCCCAGCTCTGCAGGGAGACCAGCCCAACTCAGCCCCACCCTGCTGAGTCCCCAAATCCCTCAAAACCCTCCCAAAAACGCCCCAAAAACCCCGCCCACCTCGGCCAGGTGCTGCAGGCGGGCCAGCAGGGGCCCGCGGCGCTCGGAGCCCAGGCGGGTGATGTAGTTGGAGCGTTTGCTGAACACGTAGAGCAGGTTGAGCACGGCCAGCACCACGTGCATGTCCGAGGAGGCCAGCAGCGTGGTCAGGTGCTGCGGGGACAGGACAGGTGTGTCAGGCAGCGTGTCACACGCCTGGGGACACGCGGAGGGCGGGGCTGGGGGTCTGCACACCTCGATGGAGCTGTAGAGGTGGCGGGAGAAGCTGTACTCGATGAGCAGGGCCGTGAAGTTGAGCAGGGCCAGCAGCAGGGCCTTGAGGGGCTGGCGCTCGGGCCGGTCGCAGGCCAGCATCCAGCTCATGGCCTCCACCGGCCGGCCCGCCTCGGCCAGCAGCGCGTCGAAGCGGTCCAGCAGGTCCACCCAGTGGTACAGCTCGCACTGGGGGGGTTATTGGGGGAGATGTGGGGCTGGGGGCACAGCCTGGGACCCCCTGAGCCCCCCACATCCACCCAGGGGTACAACTCACACTACAGGGGTCCTGGGGGAGATGTGGGGCTGGGGGCACAGCCGGGACCCCCTGAGCTCCCCAGGAACCCCCCAGTGGTACAGCTCGCACTGGGGCAGGGGGTTAGGGGGGAGATGTGGGGCTGGGGGCACAGCCCGGGACCACCTGAGCCCCCCAGGAACCCCTCACATCCACCCAGTGGTGCAGCTCGCACTGGGGCAGGGGGTTAGGGGGGAGATGTGGGGCTGGGGGCACAGCCCGGGACCACCTGAACCCCCCACATCCACCCAGGGGTACAACTCACACTACAGGGGTTAGGGGGGAGATGTGGGGCTGGGGGCACAGCCGGGACCCCCCTGAGCCCCCCAGGAACCCCCCACATCCACCCACTGGTACAGCTCGCACTGAGGGGATTGGGGGGGGATGTGGGGCTGGGGGCACAGCCGGGACCCCCTGAGCCCCCCACATCCACCCAGTGGTACAGCTCGCACTGAGGGGGTTAGGGGGGAGATGTGGGGCTGGGGGCGCAGCCGGGACCCCCTGAGCCCCCCATTAACCCCTCACATCCACCCAGTGGTACAGCTCGCACTGGGGGGGTTAGGGGGGAGATGTGGGGCTGGGGGCACAGCCTGGGACCCCCTGAGCCCCCCAGGAACCCCCCACATCCACCCAGTGGTACAGCTCGCACTGGGGGGGTTAGGGGGGAGATGTGGGGCTGGGGGCACAGCCGGGACCCCCTGAGCCCCCCATGAACCCCCCACATCCACCCAGTGGTACAGCTCGCACTGGGGGGGGTTAGGGGGGAGATGTGGGGCTGGGGGCACAGCCTGGGACCACCTGAGCCCCCCATGAACCCCCCACATCCACCCAGTGGTACAGCTCGCACTGGGGCGGGGGGTTAGGGGGGAGATGTGGGGCTGGGGGCACAGCCGGGACCCCCTGAGCCCCCCACATCCACCCAGTGGTACAGCTCACACTGGGGGGGTTAGGGGGGAGATGTGGGGCTGGGGGCACAGCCGGGACCCCCTGAACCCCCCACATCCACCCAGGGGTACAACTCACACTGGGGGGGTTAGGGGGGAGACGTGGGGCTGGGGGCACAGCCCGGGACCCCCTGAGCCCCCCATGAACACCCAACATCCACCCACTGGTGCAGCTCGCACTGGGGCGGGGGGTTAGGTGGGAGATGTGGGGCTGGGGGTACAGCCAGGACCCCCTGAGCCCCCCAAGAACCCCCCAGTGGTACAGCTCACACTGGGGGGGGTTAGGGGGGAGATGTGGGGCTGGGGGCACAGCCTGGGACCCCCTGGGTATAGCCCAGACCCCCCTAAACCCCCATATCCCAGGGGGGACCCCCAGAACTCCCAAGGAGAAACCCCAATACCCCAGCCCAGCCTGCCCAGATACCAGCTGAGCCCCCTCCTCAATACAGGGCAAAAAATTGGAATTTTAGAAACTTGAGAGAGAATTTGGGTTTTCCCCGGGTTTTGGGGGGAAACTGAGGTACTCCCCACGTATTTTGGGGTTTATAGGATGCTCCCCCCACTGTTTTTAGGCATATTGGGGTTCCTCCTTGGAGTTTTAGGAGTCTGTGAGAGAAAATTTGTGCCCAAACAGCTCCAGGGTGGGGAGGAAATGGGGGCCCTGGGGGGGCTGGGAGGATGCTGGTGAGCCCCCCACAGAATTTGGAGAAAAATAAATAAAAAGTAGGAGAGGGGCAAACATTGGGGTGCGCTGCAGGAAATGTAGAAACCCCCCCACATTCCTAAACCTCCAGAAAACTCCAGAACTGCCCCACCCAAGCGCTGAGGGCTCCAGGGGTTCAGCTGAAACCAGGGACCCCCCTCATTTCAGGACCATTCTGGGGGTGCCCCAGGGTGACACCCCACCAGTGGCAGTGACCAGTTTGGGGACAAGCTCAGCACCACCCTGACAAACTGTGAACAATCCCTTGGGAAATTCCCCTGTGTCTTGGGACCCCCCAGGTTTTGGGGAACCCCCCCAGGTTTTGGGGAACCCCCCCAGGTTTTGGGGACCCCTCCCACCTTCCCAATGTTCCATGTCTTGATCTGCTGCAGTTCTGTCACCAGCTGCTCATCGCTGCAAGCTTTCAGCTTCTCGATGAGGGCCCGGCAGTCAGCGGGCTGAGGGGCACAGGGAACTCAGCACTGTCCCCTCGTGGGGTCCCCAACACCCCCCATTGTCCCCAAACCCCTCCTCAATGCCCCCACCCCCCAAATGTCTCCAACTCCTGCCCTTTGCTGCCCCCTCAACACTCCCTGAGTGTCCCCAACACCCCTCGATGTCCCCAAAACCCTCCATTCCCTTCCCAATGTCCCCACTGCCCCCCGACATCTCCAATTCCCCCACAACCGTGTCCCCGACCCCTCTCTGATTGTCCCCAGCCCCCCCCCCGACTGTCCCCAACCCCCTCCTGAGTGTCCCCAACCCCCTCCTGAGTGTCCCCAAGTCCTCACTGAATGTCCCCGAGGTCTTCCCAAGGGTCCCCAGCCCCTCACTGACTGTCCCCAGCCCGTCTCTGAATGTCCCCAGCTGCTTCCTGAGTGTCCCCAACCCCTCTCTGACAGTCCCCAACCCCTGACTGTCCCCAGCTCCTCACTGACTGTCCCCAACCCCTTCCCGAGTGTCCCCAGCCCCTCCCTGACTGTCCCCAAGCCCCTCCTGAGTGTCCCCAGCTCCTTCCCGAGTGTCCCCAAGTCCTCACTGAATGTCCCCGAGGTCTTCCCAAGGGTCCCCAACCCGTCTCTGAATGTCCCCAGCCACTTCCTGAGTGTCCCCAACCCCTCTCTGACAGTCCCCAGCCCCTTGCTGACTGTCCCCAACCCCTCTCTGAATGTCCCCAACCCCTCTCTGACAGTCCCCAACCCCTGAATGTCCCCAGCCCATCGCTGACTGTCCCCAACCCCTTCCCAAGTGTCCCCAGCCCCTCCCTGACTGTCCCCAACCCCCTCCTGAGTGTCCCCAGCTCCTTCCCGAGTGTCCCCAAGTCCTCATTGAATGTCCCTGAGGTCTTCCCAAGGGTCCCCAGCCTCTCTCTGACTGTCCCCAACCCCTTCCCAAGTGTCCCCAGCCCCTCCCTGACTGTCCCCAAGCCCTCACCGCCTCCGTGGGGGTTTTCTTCAGTTTCGTCCGATCCACTTTCATTTTGGGGTTCCGGTCCTCGTGCTCTGCCTGCGGCCACACGTGGCGGGGGGAAGGGTGGGGGGGGTCACACCTGGGCTGCCCCCCAAAACGGGTCAAACCCCGCCCCCACCTGTCCCGACAGGGCACGGTTGTCCCGACAGGGCCCCGGTTGTCCCGACGGGGCCCCGGTTGTCCCGACAGGGCCCCGGTTGTCCCGAATGGGCCCCGGTTGTCCCGACGGGGCCCCGGTTGTCCCGACGGGGCCCCGGTTGTCCCGACAGGGCCCCGGTTGTCCCGAATGGGCCCCGGTTGTCCCGACGGGGCCCCGGTTGTCCCGACGGGGCCCCGGTTGTCCCGACAGGGCCCCGGTTGTCCCGACGGGGCCCCGGTTGTCCCGAATGGGCCCCGGTTGTCCCGACGGGGCCCCGCTTGTCCCGACGGGGCCCCGGTTGTCCCGACAGGGCCCCGCTTGTCCCGACGGGGCCCCGGTTGTCCCGAATGGGCCCCGGTTGTCCCGACAGGCGCCGCGGCGGCCGCGGCCCGATGACGTCGCGGCACCGGCTGAACAATGAATGTGCAAAACCCCGCCGTACCCGGGGGGGGGTCGCCGAGAGCCCCCCCACCCCCAATTAACCCCGCGGCGGAATGACGAGGGGCTGTAATTAAGGCCTATAATTACGGCCGGTAATTAAGGGCTGAGGCTGCCGCGTGCCGGGGCTCCCCCACCCCCCTCCCGGTGCCCCCCCCCCGCCCCCGCCGGCCCGGCCGGTTCGGTGACAGTGACGCATCATTTTGGGGGGGGTTGGGGCCGTTTTTGGGGTGTCCCCCCCCTCGCCCGCCCGGGGGGAGGTGTCAAAAATAAGCTTGAAGCTTCCAGCCCGTTTTCCCCCCAAAAAAAACCTTCCCAAAGCGAAACCCCCCCCACCACCCGCCCCCCTAAAATTCTCTGCGCCGCCCCCTCGGGAGGTTCTGCAGCCGCCCCCCAGCCCCGTTCCCTTACCGGGAATCACTCCCAGTCCATCCTCGGCCCGGCCGGTCGCTGCGAGGGGGAGGGAGCCGGGAGCTGCTGCGGGGGGGAATTGGGGAGGGGGTGTGAAATCCTGGGGGGTTTGGGGGGGTCCCGTATGATGATGGGGGGAGCTGATCCCAAAAAAGGGATCCCAAAAAGGGATCCCCCAAACCGCAGCGTGGGGGACCTCGAGGGTGGGAAGAGACAGCACAAAATCGCTATAAAATGTGAAAATAATGCGAATAGAGAAAAAAGGGCTAAGGAGGCAACGAGGAGACCCCCAAATCCTAAAGGATCTGAAGGAGAGGGGGTTGTAAAGCCTAAAGGATGGGAAAAGGGGGGGCCGCTAAAGGGGTCCCCCAAATGTCGGGAAACCGATGAGGGAGACCCTGAGTGATGGGAGGGGATTGCGGGGGAGTGGAAATGAGACTGGGGCTCCTAAATAATGAGCACCACAGAAAGTACCCCTAAAATACAAGGCAAACCTAAAGACGTGAGAAAGCTAAATTGAGGTGGAGGGGCGGCCAAACACCCCAAATCTCGGGAGGGGAGGGCCTGAGTCCCCGCGAGGAGCACCTGCACGGGGAGAAACCGCAAGGGTCGGGGGAAGGGGGGCCGTGAGAAGAGGAAAGCGGCCCCCAAATCACGGGAGGCCGCCGGGGAGTGGGGGGGCGGTGGGAGGGGGGGGCGGGCCCCTCATGACGGAGCCGGGCGCCATTCCCCCCCCATGCCGCGGGCCCCGCAGCAGCACCGGGCCGAGCCCCCCGCCCCACCGGCCCCGGTACCTTGAGCGGGCGGGGAGAGCGGGGAGAGCGGGGGGAAGGGGGGGGGGGTTAGAGCCCGGCCCGGGCCCGTCCCGCCGCTGCCGCCGCCGCCATCTTACACTGAGCCCCGGCCGCGGCCCGAGATCCCGCGAGAGCCGCCGCAAATCCCGCGAGAGCGGCCGGCGGGACCGGAGGAGGCGGTGCCGCGGGGGCTAGCGTGGGGGCGGAGCAACGCCGCCAGCAGCCAATGGAAACGCGAGAGGCGCGGCGGCCTAGTCTCGCGAGAACGCGCCTAGCAGTGGGGCGGGTATTTGGCGAAGCCTCGCGAGATTTCGTGAGGCGTGTGGGGGAGGGGAGGCGGCCCCTCACGGATCCCGCCTCGTACCGGGAGGAGGGGGGGGTGGGGCTGACGGTGAACGGGTGGAAGGCCCTGCCCGCCACACAGCGGCTCAACCCCCCCGCTCCCCTCACAGGCCGCGGGCCCCACGCCGTTCCCTCAAGCACCGGCACTCACCGGCACGCTGATGAGGAGAGCGAGATCTCGCGAGGCGCTGGCGGCAGCGCGGCCCCGAAGCCTCGCGAGAAAGAGAGACAGGGAGAGGAAGGAGCGGGAGCGGCGGCGGGAGCGGCCCCGGTGCGGGCGGGGGAGGGCGGGGGGAGCGCGGCCGCGGCCTCAGCGGCGGGAACGGCGGCGGCGCGCGCGCTGATCTCGCGAGAGCGCCGGCTGAGAGCGGCTCCAAATCTCGCGAGACTGGAGCTCGGCCCTGCTCGGCTAAAGGGACAAGATCTCGGAGGAGCGCTGCCGGTCTCGCGAGAGCTGCCCCCGGCGGCGCGCGCGCGCTGAGGGGGAACACGTGACCCCGCTCGGGGCATTTTTTCACCAATTTCGGGTTTTTTTGTGGTTTTTTTTTTTTTCTTTTTTATTCTACAAATACAAAAGGAGAGGGGCGGGGCCGCGGCCTCTGGACACGCCTACAAAACAGGGGCAGCCAATAGGAAGCGGCCCCGCCCCATCAATCAACCTGAAAACACTGCGGGGGGGGAAAAAAAAAAAAAAAACCTAGCGGGGACCAATCAAAGATGGCTCCGCCCCTCCCGCAGCTGTGGGGCGGGGCTTGCCCAATTGCCTGAGCTCCTGGAGGCGGGAAATGAGGAAGCCCCGCCCCTATTCCATCCACGGCCAATGGGAAGGCAGGAACCGTGGTGGGCAGAGCCAGGATTCGGCTCCACCCTGTGTGGGCGTGGTTTGTCTATAAGTGGGCGTGGTTTGATGTTACCACGCCTTTTTTACCCCACATGACCAATGGGCGTGGCTTGGGCTGTGATAGGGCGTGGTCTCAGCTAAATCTGCATTGTGGGCGTGGCCTCAGAGGGGACAGGTGATGCCACACCTGAAGGGGCGGGGCCTAAATCAAGCCACGCCCTTTTAGCAAGCACGTTGTTCTGATAGGTGTGGTCCTGCCAGGCCCCGCCCCCTTCTGCAGAGCCCCGCCCATAGTTCATTGTTCAGCCGGTGGTGGGCGGAGCCTGGCGGGGCGTGGGCGGAGCCTGGCAGGGCGTGGCCGGCCCCGCCCTCAGAGCAGCAGTTTCCCGTTGCGGTGGATTTTGAGGATCCGGCCCAGGCGCTGCTTGGCTGTGGCCAAACCCTTCCGGGGGCGCTTCCCTGCGGGCAGGGTCGGAGTGTCACCGGGATTGGGGGGACACGGACCCCCGAAACCACCCCAGAACCACCCAAAACCACCCCAGAAATACCCAAAACCACCCCAGAACCACCCAAAACCACCCCAGAACCACCCAAAACCACCCCAGACCCTCCGAAACCACCCCAGAACCACCCAAAACCACCCCAGACCCTCCGAAACCACCCCAGGACCCCCCAAAACCACCCCAGACCCTCTGAAGCCACCCCAGAACCACCCAAAACCACCCCAGACCCTCCTAAACCACCCCAGAACCACCCAAAACCACCCCAGAACCACCAAAAACCACCCCAGACCCTCCGAAACCACCCCAGGACCCCCCAAAACCACCCCAGACCCTTCAAAACCACCCCAGAACCCCAAAAACCCCCCAAACCCACCCCAGACCCTCTGAAACCACCCCAGAACCCCCCAAACCTCCCAAAACCACCCCAGACCCTCCGAAACCACCCCAGAACCACCCAAAACCATCCCAGAACCCCCCAAAACCACCCCACAACCACCCAAAACCACCCCAGACCCTCCGAAACCACCCCAGAACCACCCAAAACCACCCCAGACCCTCTGAAACCATCCCAGAACCCCCCAAAACCACCCCAGACCCTCCTAAACCACCCCAGAACCACCCAAAACCACCCCAGACCCTTCAAAACCATCCCAGAACCCCCCAAAACCACCCCAGACCCTCCGAAACCACCCCAGAACCACCCAAAACCACCCCAGAACCACCCAAAACCCACCCCAGACCCTCCTAAACCACCCCAGAACCACCCCAGACCCTCCTAAACCACCCCAGAACCACCCAAAACCACCCCAGGACCCCCCAAACCTCCCAAAACCACCCCAGACCCTTCAAAACCACCCCAGAACCCCACAAACCCCCCCAAAACCAGCCCCAGACCCTCTGAAACCATCCCAGAACCACCCAAAAACACCCCAGACCCTTCAAAACCACCCCAGAACCCCAAAAAAACCCCAAACCCACCCCAGAACCCCACAAAACCACCCCAGAACACCCCATATCCACAGAAAACCTCCCCAAAACCCCTCAGCTCCCCCTGAACCCCCCAAATCCCCTCAGATATCCCCAAAATCCCCTCAGACCCTCCCCAAATCCCCTCAGATATCCCCAAAATCCCCTCAGACCCTCCACAAAACCCCCTCAGACCCTGCCCAAGTCCCTCCTACACCACCAGGACCCCCCAAAGGCACCCCAGAACCCTCTAAAAACCCCCCAAACCCCTCAGACCCTCCCCAAATCCCCTCAGACCCTCCCCAAAATCCCCTGGCAGCCTCCCCCAAATCCCCTCAGATATCCCCAAAATCCCCAAAACCCCCCCAGCTATCCCCAAAATCCCCTCAGACCCTCCCCAAATCCCCTCAAATATCCCCAAAACCCCCCCAGCTATCCCCGCACCCCTCACCGTGGCTGGGGGGCGCCGTTCCGGGGGGGCCCCGGCGCTGGCTCAGGAACACCCCCGGGGCCATGGGGGTGGGGGCCCGGCCGGGCTGAGCCCCGGGTGGGGGTCCCGGACCCCCCGGCCGCGCCGTGTACTCGTGGTCAGCCAGGCTGGGCGGGTACGGCGGCTCCGGGGGCGGCTCCGGGGGGGGCTCGGCCTCGGCTTCGCCCCCCCCCAGCTCCGCCTCGGCCTCCGCGTCCCCCTCGGGCTCAACTTCGGGGTCTTCGTCTTCCTCATCTTCCTCTTCCTCTTCTTCTTCCTCCTCCTCTTCTTCCTCTGGGGAGGGGGGTGAGGGGGGGCGGCGCTTGGCAGGGCCCTTCCTGCGCTGCAGCTTTCGGTGCTCCTGGGGGGACAGGGGGGGATTTATGGGGGTTTGGGGGGTCTGGAGGGGATTTAGGGGGGTCTGGAGGGGATTTAGGGGGGTTTGGGGGGTCTGGAGGGTATTTAGGGGAGTTTGGGGGCCAGGGGAGGGGAATTTATGGGGGTTTGTGGGGGTCTGAGGGGGATTTATGGGGGAGTTTGGGGGGTCTGAGGGGGAGTTTGGGGGCCGGGGGGGGGATTTATGAGGAATTTGGGGGGTCTGGAGGGGATTTAGGGGAGTTTGGGGGGTCTGGAGGGGATTTATGGGTGTTTGGGGGCCGGAGGGGGATTTATGGGGGAGTTTGGGGGATCTGAGGGGGATTTTGGGGAGTTTGGGGGCCGGGGGGGGGGATTTATGGGGGTTTGGGGGGTCTGAGGGGGATTTTGGGGAGTTTGGGGGCCGGAGGGGGGGATTTATGGGGGTTTGTGGGGGTCTGAGGGGGATTTATGGGGGTTTGTGGGGGTCTGGAGGGGATTTAGGGGGGTTTGTGGGGGGTCTGAGGGGGATTTATGGGGGGGTTTGGGGGGTCTGAGGGGGATTTATGGGGGGGTTTGGGGGGTCTGGAGGGGATTTAGGGGAGTTTGGGGGCCGGAGGGGGGGATTTATGGGGGTTTGGGGGTATAAGGGGGGATTTATGGGGGTTTGTGGGGTCTGAGGGCGAGTTTGGGGGCCGGGGGAGGGGGATTTATGGGGGTTTGTGGGGGTCTGAGGGGATTTTGGGGGGTTTGGGGTTATCAGGGGGGATTTATGGGGGAGTTTGGGAGGTCAGGGGGGTTTATGGGGGGTTTGGAGGGGGATTTATGGGGGTCACAGGTGTATTGGGAGGGTCTGAGAGGGATTTATGGGGGATTTTGAGGGGTCGGGGGGATTTATGAAGGGATTTGGGGGGTTTGAGGGGTTGGGGGGGGCTCGGGGGGATTCCCTCCCCACAACAAACCCCAAACCCCACCCAGCAGTTTTCCCCCCCTGCTCCCAGTTCCTCCCAGTGCTCCCAGTTCACCTGCTGGGCCAGCTTGGAATCCCCAAATCCCCCCTGACAATCCCAACCACCCCCAAAATCACCCTCAAAACCTCCTGAACTCCCCTCAAACCCTCCCTGGACCCCCTAAATGTCCCCCCAGACCCCAAAGCATCGCTCCCAGTTCCTCCCAGTGCTCCCAGTTCACCTGCTGGGCCAGCTTGGAATCCCCAAATCCCCCCTGACAATCCCAACCACCCCCAAAATCACCCTCAAAACCTCCTGAACTCCCCTCAAACCCTCCCTGGACCCCCTAAATGCCCCCCCAGACCCCAAAGCATCGCTCCCAGTTCCTCCCAGTGCTCCCAGTTCACCTGCTGGGCCAGCTTGGAATCCCCAAAATCCCCCTGACAATCCCAACCACCCCCAAAATCACCCTCAAAACCGCCTGAACTCCCCTCAAACCCTCCCTGGACCCCCTAAATGCCCCCCCAGACCCCAAAGCATCGCTCCCAGTTCCTCCCAGTGCTCCCAGTTCACCTGCTGGGCCAGCTTGGAATCCCCAAATCCCCCTGACAATCCCAACCACCCCCAAAATCACCCTCAAAACCTCCTGAACTCCCCTCAAACCCTCCCTGGACCCCCTAAATGCCCCCCCAGACCCCAAAGCATCGCTCCCAGTTCCTCCCAGTGCTCCCAGTTCACCTGCTGGGCCAGCTTGGAATCCCCAAATCCCCCCTGACAATCCCAACCACCCCCAAAATCACCCTCAAAACCTCCTGAACTCCCCTCAAACCCTCCCTGGACCCCCTAAATGCCCCCCCAGACCCCAAAGCGTCGCTCCCAGTTCCTCCCAGTGCTCCCAGTTCACCTGCTGGGCCAGTTTGGCAGCGGCTGCCGCCAGCCCCGTCTCCACCGAGGCCACGCGCGTCCCCTCCCGCACCGGGCGGCTCTGCCGGGGCAGCGACGGCGTCACCCGCGCTGGGGACACCCCAAAATCAGACACGGAACGGGGGGACACCCCAAAGTCAGACATGGAACAGGGGGGACACCCCAAAGTCAGACATGGCAAAGGGGGACACCCCAAAGTCAGACATGGCAAAGGGGGACACCCCAAAATCAGACACGGAGCAGGGGGACACCCCAAAGTCAGACACGGAACAGGGGGGACACCCCAAAGTCAGACACGGAACAGGGGGGACACCCCAAAGTCAGACACGGAACAGGGGGGACACCCCAAAGTCAGACATGGAATGGGGGACACCCCAAAGTCAGACATGGCAAAGGGGGACACCCCAAAATCAGACATGGCAAAGGGGGACACCCCAAAGTCAGACACGGAACAGGGGGGACACCCCAAAGTCAGACATGGCAAAGGGGGGACACCCCAAAGTCAGACACGGAACGGGGGGACACCCCAAAATCAAACATGGCAAAGGGGGGACACCCCAAAGTCAGACATGGCAAAGGGGAACACCCCAAAATCAGCATTCAAATAAAAGGGGACACCCCAAAATCAGACATGGAACAGGGGGGACACCCCAAAGTCAGACACGGAACAGGGGGGACACCCCAAAATCAGACATGGAACAGGGGGGACACCCCAAAATCAGAGTTCAAATAAAGGGGCACACCCCAAAATCAGAGCATGGAATGGGGGACACCCCAAAATCAAACATGGCAAAGGGGGACACCCCAAAGTCAGACACAGAACAGGGGGGACACCCCAAAGTCAGACATGGAACAGGGGGACACCCCAAAGTCAGACATGGCAAAGGGGGACACCCCAAAGTCAGACACGGAACAGGGGGGACACCCCAAAATCAGACATGGAACAAATGGGGGACACCCCAAAATCAGAGCACGGAACAAATGGTGAACATCTCAAAATCAGAGCTCAAATAAAGGGGGCACCCCAAAATCAGTCATGGCAAAGGGGGACACCCCAAAATCAGAGCATGAAATAAATAGGGGACACCCCAAAATCAGACATGGAACAAGGCAGGAGGGACCCCAAATCAGCCCCTGCCCCAAAGGAGGGAGGACTGGGGATCCCCAGGGACCCCAAACTCCATCCCAGGGCCCCTCAAATCCCCCACATTTCCTAAAAACCTCCCAAATTCACCCCAAACCACCCAGCCCTGCCCCAGGGACCCCCAAAATCCCCGAATTTCCCCCAAAACCACCCCCCCAAGGACCCCCCCAAACCTTTGGGGCTCCAGGGGGCGTCGTCCGTCACTTTCTTCTTTTTGGGGAGCGATTTTAGGGCGGGGTCGTCCTCGTCCGACTCCAGTGAGGGGTAAACTGGGGTGGGGGATAGAAAAAATGGGGTTCAGGGGGGTCCTGGGGGCAGGAAAAGGGGAGTTCAGGATGATTCCACCACGGCCTGGGAGTGGTTTTGGGCTGTTCTGAGGTAATTTTTGGGGGTTTTAGGGTGTTCTGGAGTATTTCTTGGATATTTTGTGTGCTTTGGGAATATTTTTAGGATGTTTTTGGGGTAACACTCGCTGTACTCGGCATCCTTGAAGCAGGGTGGTTTTAGGGTGGTTTTGGGGTGTTTTTGGGATCACACTCACTTGAAGCAGGGTGGTTTTGGGGTATTTTTGGAGTGGTTTTTGGGGTCACACTCACTGCACTCAATATCCTTGAAGCAGGGTGTTTTTGGGGTGTTTTTGGGGTGTTTTTTGGGTCACACTCACTGTACTCAGCAGTTTTTGGGGTGTTTTTGGGGTGTTTTTGGGGTGGTTTTGGGGTGGTTTTGGGGTCACACTCACTGCACTCAATATCCTTGAAGCAGGGTGTTTTTGGGGTGTTTTTGGGGTGTTTTGGGGGTGTTTTTGGGGTGTTTTTGGGGTCACACTCACTGCACTCAATACCCTTGAAGCAGGGTGGTTTTGGGGTGTTTTTGGGGTGGTTTTTGGGTCACACTCACTGTACTCAGCATCCTTGAAGCAGGGTGTTTTTGGGGTGTTTTTGGGGTGTTTTTGGGGTGTTTTTGGGGTCACACTCACTGCACTCAATATCCTTGAAGCAGGGTGGTTTTGGGGTGGTTTTGGGGTGTTTTTGGGGTGTTTTTGGGGTGTTTTTTGGGTCACACTCACTGTACTCAGCATCCTTGAAGCAGGGTGTTTTTGGGGTGTTTTTGGGGTGTTTTTTGGGGTCACACTCACTGTACTCAGCATCCTTGAAGCAGGGTGTTTTTGGGGTGTTTTTGGGGTGTTTTTGGGGTCACACTCACTGTACTCAGCATCCTTGAAGCAGGGTGTTTTTGGGGTGTTTTTGGGGTGGTTTTGGGGTGTTTTTGGGGTGTTTTTGGGGTATTTTTGGGGTCACACTCACTGCACTCAATATCCTTGAAGCAGGGTGGTTTTGGGGGGTGTTATGGGGTGTTTTTGGGGTCACACTCACTGCACTCAATATCCTTGAAGCAGGGTGTTTTTGAGGTGTTTTTGGGGTGTTTTTGGGGTGGTTTTGGGGTGGTTTTGGGGTCACACTCACTGCACTCAATATCCTTGAAGCAGGGTGTTTTTGGGGTGTTTTTGGGGTCACACTCACTGTACTCAGCATCCTTGAGGCAGGGTGTTTTTGGGGTGTTTTTGGGGTGGTTTTGGGGTATTTTTTGGGGTGTTTTTGGGGTGTTTTTGGGGTGTTTTTGGGGTCACACTCACTGTACTCAGCATCCTTGAAGCAGGGTGTTTTTGGGGTGTTTTTGGGGTGTTTTTGGGGTGGTTTTGGGGTGTTTTTGGGGTCACACTCACTGTACTTGGCATCCTTGAAGCAGGGTGTTTTGGGGGTGTTTTTGGGGTGTTTTTGGGGTGTTTTTGGGGTGTTTTTGGGGTGTTTTTGGGGTGGTTTTGGGGTCACACTCACTGTACTCAGCATCCTTGAAGCAGGGTGTTTTTGGGGTGGTTTTGGGGTGGTTTTGGGGTGGTTTTGGGGTGTTTTTGGGGTCACACTCACTGCACTCAGCATCCTTGAAGCAGGGTGTTTTTGGGGTGGTTTTGGGGTGTTTTTGGGGTGTTTTTTGGGGTGTTTTTTGGGTCACACTCACTGTACTCAATATCCTTGAAGCAGGGTGGTTTTGGGGTGTTTTTGGGGTGGTTTTGGGATGGTTTTGGGGTGGTTTTGGGGTGGTTTTGGGGTGGTTTTGGGGTGGTTTTGGGGTCACACTCACTGTACTCAGCATCCTTGAAGCAGGGTGGTTTTGGGGTGTTTTTGGGGTGGTTTTGGGGTGGTTTTGGGGTCACACTCACTGTACTCAGCATCCTTGAAGCAGGCCCCCAGGCTGTCCTGCTCGTCCAGGCTCCCCTCGGCCTCGCTGTCGGTGCTCCGGGGGGCGGGGGGGGCTCTGCGGGGCCCCCCAGACCCCCCAGGACCCCCCCTTTCGGTCCCCCCGCCCCCTCCCCACCAGTTTGGGGGTCCCAGGGGGGTCCCCGCGGGCAGGTTGGCCATGCAGAGCATGCCCTGGATGGCCTCACGCGTGCTGGGGGAGGCAGGGGCCTCGCTGGGGGGAAAAAAGGGGAAAAAAGGGGAAAAATTGGGGTTTGGGGGGGGTCAAGGCATGTTTGGGGTCCTCAAATTGAGGAGAGGCAGCACCAAAAGGAGATGGAGAGGGGCAAAGTGAGCCCAGCCACAGAAATGCCCCCCAAAACTCCCCAGGAACCTCAAATAGCCCCAAAACCCCAACTCCTGACCCCAAATAACCCCCAGGAACCCCAAAACCCAACCCAGGATTCCAAATAACCCAAAACCCCAACTCCTGACCCCAAATAACCCCCAGGGACCCCCACAAGCCAAATCCCAGTCCCCCCAAAAGCACCTGGTGACCCCCACCCAAGTCCCCCCAGATATCTATGGACCCCCAAAATCAGCCCAGCACCCCGTTAAAGCTCCCTGGGACCCCAAAACCCAACCCCAGCCCTCCCAAAACATTTGGGGAGCCCCCAAAACCCCACTCAAATCCCTCCCCCAACCCTGGGGACCCCCAAATCCAGCCCAGCTCCCACTCAAAGCCCCCCAGAGACACCCAAAACTCAACCCCAGCCCCACAAGTGCCCCCCAAAACCCCCCAGGGATCCCTCCCAGACCCCTCAAACCCAGCCCAGCCCCCCAGGCCCCCCCAAACCTGAGCTGGGGGTACTCGGAGCCCCCCACTTGCCGGCTGGCCTTGAGCAGGTCCAGGATCCCGGCGCTGCCCCCAGCGCCCCCCTCGTCCTCCTCGTCCGTGGTGTAATCCTCCTGGGGATCAGAGGGTCAGAAACAGCCCAAAACCACCCCAAAATACCCCAAAAACCACCCCAGTCCGTGGTGTAATCCTCCTGGGGATCAGAGGGTCAGAAACAGCCCAAAAACACCCCAAAATACCCCAAAAACCACCCCAGTCCGTGGTGTAATCCTCCTGGGGATCAGAGGGTCAGAAACAGCCCAAAAACACCCCAAAAAACCACAAAATACCCCAAAAACCACCCCAGTCCGTGGTGTAATCCTCCTGGGGATCAGGGGGTCAGAAACAGCCCAAAACCACACCAAAAACCCACAAAATACCCCAAAAACCACCCCAGTCCCGTGGTGTAATCCTCCTGGGAATCAGAGGGTCAGAAACAGCCCAAAAACACCCCAAAATACCCCAAAAACCACCCCAGTCCGTGGTGTAATCCTCCTGGGGATCAGGGGGTCAGAAACAGCCCAAAAACACCCAAAAAAACCACAAAATACCCCAAAAACCACCCCAGTCCGTGGTGTAATCCTCCTGGGGATCAGGGGGTCAGAAACAGCCCAAAAACACCCCAAAAAACCACAAAATACCCCAAAAATACCCCCAAAACCACCCTAGTCTGTGGTGTAACCCTCCTGGGGATCAAGGCATCAGAAATATCCAAAAATACCCCAAAACACCTCAGAAATATCCCAAAAACAACCCCAGGCTGTGGTGTCACTCTCCTGGGGGGCAGGAAGTCAGAAACATCCCCCCAAAACCCCATTTTTCGGGTGCCCCCCAATCTCCATTTACAGGGTGACCCCCAAAACTCCCTCAAGGACACCCCCAGTTCCCTTAAACCCTCCCAGCACTCCCCCCAAAATCCCCCCAAAACCCCCTCAAGGACATCCCCAGTTCCCTTAAACCCCCCCAAAACCCCCAGAGCCCCCCCCAAAATCCCCCTAAGAGCCCCCCAGGATACCCTCAGCTCCCTTAACCACCCCAAACCCCCCCAGAGCCCCCCAAAACCCCATTTTTGGGTGCCCCCCAATCTCCATTTACAGGGTGACCCCCAAAACCCCCTCAAGGACATCCCCAGTTCCCTTAAACCCCCCCAGAACTCCCCCCAAAATCCCCCCAAAACCCCCTCAAGGACATCCCCAGTTCCCTTAAACCCCCCCAAAACCCCCAGAACTCCCCCCAAAATCCCCCCAAAACCCCCTCAAGGACATCCCCAGTTCCCTTAAACCCCCCCAAACCCCCCCAGAGCCCCCCAAAACCCCCCGGGGTCACCCCCAGACCCACCTCGATGTCGAAGTCGACCTCTCCCGGCTCCCGCACCCGGTTGGGATCCGAGCAGGGCTTGGCCCGGGGCAGCTTCCGGGGGAGCCCTGGGACACCCCAAAAACGGGATTGGGGTCACCCCAAAAATGGGATTGGGGTCACCCCAAAAACGGGATTGGGGTCACCCCAAAAACTGTGATTAGGGCCACCCTAAAAACAGGGATTAGGGTCACAGCCCAAAAATGGGGACTGGGGGAACACCTCAGAAATGGGGGTTGGGGTCAGACCCCAAAAATGAGGGTTATGGGGGGATTAGGGGCATTTTGGGGATGTTTCAGGCTAGGTTTGGGGCTAGATTTTGGGGGGTTTTGGGGGTTGTTTTAGTGTCAGGTTTGGGGTGGTTCTGGGGTCAGGTCTGGGGCGGGTTTTGGGGTGTTTTGGGGATGTTTTGGGGGTATTTTTGGGGATGTTTTGGGGATGTTTTTGGGGATGTTTTGGGGATGGTTTTGGGGATGTTTTTGGGGATGCTTTGGGGATGCTTTAGGGATATTTTTGGGGATGTTTTGGGGATGTTTTGGGGATGCTTTAGGGATATTTTTGGGGATGGTTTTGGGGATGTTTTGGGGTGTTTTGGGGATGTTTTTGGGGATGTTTTTGGGAATGTTTTTGGGAATGTTTTGGGGAATGTTTTGGGGAATGTTTTGGGGAATGTTTTGGGGAATGTTTTGGGGAATGTTTTGGGGAATGTTTTGGGGAATGTTTTTGGGGAACGTTTTTGGGGAATGTTTTTGGGGAATGTTTTTGGGGAATGTTTTTGGGGAATGTTTTTGGGGATGTTTGGGGGATGTTTGGGGGATGTTTGGGGGATTTTGGGGATGTTTTGGGGATGTTTTTGGGGATGTTTCGGGGATGGTTTTGGGGATGTTTTTGGGGATGTTTTTGGGGATGTTTTTGGGGAGGATTGGGGGATGTTTTGGGGATGTTTGGGGATGTTTGGGGGATGTCTTGGGGATGTTTTGGGGATGTTTTTGGGGATGTTTTCAGGATGTTTGGGGGTTGTTTGGGGGATGTTTCGGGGATGGTTTTGGGGATGTTTTTGGGGGTGTTTTTGGGGATGTTTTTGGAAATGTATTGGGAATGTTTGGGGGATGTTTGGGGGATGTTTGGGGGATGGTTTTGGGGATGGTTTTGGGGATGGTTTTGGGGATGGTTTTGGGGATGTTTGGGGGATGTTTGGGGGTGTTTTTGGGAATGTTTTGGGGATGTTTTTGGGGATGTTTTTGGGGATGTTTTGGGGATGTTTTGGGGATGGTTTTGGGGATATTTTTGGGGATGTTTTGGGGATGTTTTGGGGAATGTTTTGGGGTGTTTTGGGGATGTTTTAGGGATATTTTTGGGGATGTTTTTGGGGATGTTTTTGGGGATGTTTTCAGGATGTTTGGGGGTTGTTTGGGGGATGTTTTTGGGGATGTTTTTGGGGATGTTTTTGGGGATGTTTTGGGGATGTTTGGGGGATGTTTGGGGGATGGTTTTGGGGATGTTTTTGGGGATGTTTTAGGGATATTTTTGGGGATGTTTTGGGGATGTTTTGGGGATGTTTTTGGGGAGGATTGGGGGATGTTTGGGGGATGTTTGGGGGATGTTTTGGGGATGTTTGGGGGATGTTTGGGGGTGTTTTTGGGGAGGATTGGGGGGTGTTTTGGGGATGTTTGGGGGATATTTTTGGGGATGTTTGGGGATGTTTGGGGGATGTTTGGGGGATGTTTGGGGGATGTTTTTGGGGTGTTTTGGGGATGTTTTAGGGATATTTTTGGGGATGTTTTTGGGGATGTTTTCAGGATGTTTGGGGGTTGTTTGGGGGATGTTTTTGGGGATGTTTTTGGGGATGTTTTTGGGGATGTTTTGGGGATGTTTTTGGGGTGTTTTTGGGGTTTTTTGGGGATGTTTTAGGGATATTTTTGGGGATGTTTTGGGGATGTTTTGGGGATGTTTTGGGGATGGTTTTGGGGAGGACTGGGGGATGTTTGGGGGATGTTTGGGGGATGTTTGGGGGTGTGTTTGGGGGTGTGTTTGGGGGTGTGTTTGGGGGTGTTTTTGGGGATGTTTGGGGGATGTTTGGGGGATGGTTTTGGGGATGTTTTTGGGGAGGATTGGGGGATGTTTTGGGGATGTTTGGGGGATATTTGGGGGATGTTTGGGGGATGTTTTGGGGATGTTTTGGGGATGTTTTTGGGGAGGATTGGGGGATGTTTGGGGGATGTTTTTGGGGTTGGTTTTGGGGAGGATTGGGGGATGTTTGGGGGATGTTTTTGGGGTGTTTTGGGGATGTTTTAGGGATATTTTTGGGGATGTTTTGGGGATGTTTTGGGGATGTTTTGGGGATGGTTTTGGGGAGGATTGGGGGATGTTTTGGGGATGTTTTTGGGGTTGGTTTTGGGGAGGATTGGGGGATGTTTGGGGGATGTTTGGGGGATGTTTGGGGGTGTTTTTGGGGTACCCACGGGGCAGGCGGCGCGGGCCCCGCCGCGGGGGGGTCTCATCGATCTGCAGCTCCTCCTCCGAGTCCAGGTCCAGGGGGGAGCTGGGGGGGGAGCAGGGGGGGGATGGGGGGGGGCGGGACCCCCAGAGCCCCCCGGGCCGGCTGCGGCGGGGCCTGAGGGGGAGGGGCGTCAGGGGGACCCCCCAAACCCCTCTGGGACCCCCTCCCTGACCCACCAAAACCATCCCAGAACCCCTCCAACACCCCCCCCCCAAACTCCTCTGGGATCCCCAAAATCCATCCCCCAAACCTTTCTAGGACCCCCCCAAGATCACCTCAGAACACCCCCAGGCCCCCCAAATTCCCTTTGGGACCCCCCACAGTGTCCCCCCAAAATCCTTTGGATTCCCCCCTCCCCTCCAAGTCCCTCCAGCCCCCCAAAGTCCCCTGGGACCCCCCAAATTCTCTCTTGGACCCCCCAAAGCCCCCCAGTGCCCCCCCAAACCCCCCATTCCTCACCGAGCCCCCCCGTTGGCCAGCAGGATCTGGGGGTCCCCCTCGGAGTCGGGGTCCGTCTCCTCCGGGCTGGAGCTGGGGGGGTCAACCTGGGGGGGAACCTTGAGATTTGGGGGGAGAGGACCCCAAATCCACCCCCAAATCCACCCCTCCCGCACACCCAGCCCTCCCCCAATTCCACCCCTCCCCCAGTGCCCCCCCAGTCCCTCCCAGTCCCTCCCCAGTTCCTCCCAGTCTCCCCTCACCTCCTCATCCTCCTCAGGAGGGGCTGGGGGGGGATTCGGGGTTCCCCCCTCATTGGAGGTGCGAGAGTTGGGGGGAGGCTTGCGGGGCCCCCCTTTTTTGGGGGCTGGGACCCCCCAGGGGGGTCCAAAGGGGGTCCCCGACATTCCCGTGCTCTGCTGGAACAGCTCCTGTGGGGAAGGGATACAGAGCTCCCAGTATGTCCCAGTATGGCCCAGTTCCTCCCAGTAACCCCAAAACCTTCTCAGAACCCCTCCCAGTACCCCCAGTACCGCTCCTAGCCTTGCTCCCAGTGGCTGCCCAGTTGCTCCCAGTCCCTTCCCAGTGCACTTCAAATCCCTCCCAGCGCTCCCCATTCCATCCCAGTTCCCCCCAGTCCTCCCCAGTCCCTCCCAGTGCTCCCAGTTCACCTCTGCCAGCCGGATCTCCCTGCCCAGTTCCTTGACCAGCTGCCCCGGCCGGACGGTCTCGGGGATCTCCTGCTCGTGCTCTGCCAGGACCTGAGGGGGAAAGGGTTAAAATGAGAGGGGACCCCAAACCCGGGGAACCCCAAAACCTCCCCCCTAAAACCTCCCACCCCTGGGACCCCACAGAGCCCCCCAAAATTCCCCAGAAACCCCAAAATTGCTTTGAATGCCCCCAAAACCCCTCGAGACCCTCCCAAAATTCCTTTGGACCCCCCCAAAATCCCCATGGACCCCCATCCAAAATCCTTTTGAACCCCCCCAGAATTCCTCTGGACACCCCAAAATCCCTTTGGAGCCACCCAAAATCCCACGGGACCCTCCCAAAATCCTTTTGAAACCCCTCAAAATCTCTTGAGATCCCCCCAAAATCCCACAGGACCCTCCCAAAATCCTTTTGAAACCCCTCAAAATCTCTTGAGATCCCCCCAAAATCCCACAGGACCCTCCCAAAATCCTTTTGAAACCCCTCAAAATCTCTTGAGATCCCCCCAAAACCTCTGGGGACCCTCCCAAAACCCCTCAGGGCCCCCCCAAAACCCCTCGGGACCCCCCCAAACCTCTGGGGACCCTCCCAAAACCCCTCAGGGCCCCCCCAAAACCCCTCAGGGCCCCCCCAAAACCCCTCAGGGCCCCCCCAAAACCCCTCGGGACCCCCCCAAACCTCTCGGCGGGTCCAGGCTCGGAAGGCTCCGGTCAGGGCTCGGGCTCCCAGCACCAAATAGGCCGCGGGGTGCCGGCGGTTCTCCCTCAGCCCTGCACCCCAAAATCCCCAGGGTGGGATGGGAGACACCAAACCAGCGTGGGAACCACAGGGACACCCCAAAATCAGGATGGGAAACTCAGGAACATCCCAAAAATTTGGGATGGGACCCCCCAGACCCCTCCTGGGGGGAGTTTGGGGATTCTCCAAACCCCCCCGGATAGATTTAGAGCACCCTCAGATAGGTTTAAACCCCCCCAGATGAGTTTCAAGCCCCCCAGGTGGGTTTAAAGCCCCCCCAAACCCCCTCAGTTGGGTTTAAATCCCCACAGTTGGGTTTAAAGCCCCCCCAGATAGGTTCAAAGCCCCCTCAGATAGGTTCAAAGCCCCCTAAGTTGGGTTTAAAGCCCCCCCAGATAGGTTCAAAGCCCCCTAAGTTGGGTTTAAAGCCCCCCCAGGTAGGTTCAAAGCCCCCTAAGTTGGGTTTAAAGCCCCCCCAGATAGGTTCAAAGCCCCCTAAATTGGGTTTAAAGCCCCCCCAGATAGGTTCAAAGCCCCCTAAGTTGGGTTTAAAGCCCCCCCAGGTAGGTTCAAAGCCCCCTAAGTTGGGTTTAAAGCCCCCCCAGATAGGTTCAAAGCCCCCTAAGTTGCGTTTAAAGCCCCCCCAGATAGGTTCAAAGCCCCCTAAGTTGGGTTTAAAGCCCCCCCAGGTAGGTTCAAAGCCCCCTAAGTTGGGTTTAAAGCCCCCCCAGGTAGGTTCAAAGCCCCCTAAGTTGGGTTTAAATCCCCCCCAGGTAGGTTCAAAGCCCCCTAAGTTGGGTTTAAAGCCCTCTCAGATAGGTTCAAAGCCCCCTAAGTTGGGTTTAAAGCCCCCCCAGATAGGTTCAAAGCCCCCTAAGTTGGGTTTAAAGGCTCCAGGATGGGTTTAGAGCCACCTCAGATGTGTTTAAACCTCCCCCCAGATAGGTTCAAAGCCCCCTCAGTTGGGTTTAAATCCCCACAGTTGGGTTTAAAGCCCCCTAAGTTGGGTTTAAAGCCCCCCCAGGTAGGTTCAAAGCCCCCTAAGTTGGGTTTAAAGCCCCCCCAGATAGGTTCAAAGCCCCCTAAGTTGGGTTTAAAGCTCCCTAAGTTGGGTTCAAAGCCCCCTAAGTTGGGTTTAAAGCCCCCTCAGATAGGTTCAAAGCCCCCTAAGTTGGGTTTAAAGCCCCCCCAGGTAGGTTCAAAGCCCCCTAAGTTGGGTTTAAAGCCCCCCCAGGTAGGTTCAAAGCCCCCTAAGTTGGGTTTAAAGCCCCCTTAGATAGGTTCAAAGCCCCCTAAGTTGGGTTTAAAGCCCCCCCAGATAGGTTCAAAGCCCCCTAAGTTGGGTTTAAAGCCCCCCCAGGTAGGTCCAAAGCCCCCTAAGTTGGGTTTAAAGCCCCCCCAGGTAGGTTCAAAGCCCCCTAAGTTGGGTTTAAAGCCCCCCCAGATAGGTTCAAAGCCCCCTCAGTTGGGTTTAAATCCCCACAGTTGGGTTTAAAGCCCCCTAAGTTGGGTTTAAAGCCCCCCCAGATAGGTTCAAAGCCCCCTAAGGTGGGTTTAAAGCCCCCCCAGATAGGTTCAAAGCCCCCCAAGTTGGGTTTAAAGCCCCCCCAGATGGGTTCAAAGCCCCCTAAGTTGGGTTTAAAGCCCCCCCAGATAGGTTCAAAGCCCCCTAAGTTGGGTTTAAATCCCCACAGTTGGGTTTAAAGCCCCCTAAGTTGGGTTTAAAGCCCCCCCAGATAGGTTCAAAGCCCCCTAAGTTGGGTTTAAAGCCCCCCCAGATAGGTTCAAAGCCCCCTAAGTTGGGTTTAAAGGTTCCAGGATGGGTTTAGAGCCACCTCAGATGTGTTTAAACCTCCCCCCAGATGAGTTTAACCCCCCAAGGTGGATTTAAATCCCCCCAAGTGGGTTCCCAGCCCCCCAAAAAGGTTTAAATCTCCCCCAAGTAGGTTCCCAGCCCCCCAGAAAGGTTTAAATCTCCCCCAAGTGGATTCCCAGCCCCCCCAGAAAGGTTTAAATCTCCCCCAAGTGGGTTCCCAGCCCCCCCAGAAGGGTTTAAATCTCCCCCAAGTGGATTCCCAGCCCCCCCAGAAGGGTTTAAACCTCCCCCAAGTGGATTCCCAGCCCCCCAGAAGGGTTTAAATCCCCCCCAAGTGGGTTCCCAGCCCCCCCAGCCCCCCAGGAGGGGCACCCACCTCGGAAGGTGTCCAGCAGGTGCCTCCCCACGTACCAGCAGATGGTCTCAAAATTGGGGAACTTGGCCAGGTCGGGGGTGTTGAGGCGGCGCTGCAGCTCGTACGCCCTGGTGGGGGGGGTTTGGGGAGTCAGAAGGTGATTTGGGGGGTCACAGGCACCCCAAAACGGCACCCCAAAACTCTCCCGGCACCCCAAACTCTCATCCAGCCCCCCCAATCCCTCCCTCAACCCCCTCAATTTCCCCCAAGCCCTCCCCCAGCTGCCCTAAACTCTCCCCAAAGACACCCCCAAAGCCCCCCAAATCCCCTCAAAACCCATAAACACCCCCAGAACCCCCAAAACACCCCTAAAACCCTTCCAAAATCCCCAAAACCCCTCCCTGCCCCTCCAAACCTTTTAAAACCCCCCAAACTCTCCCCAAAAACGCCCCCAAAGCCCCCCAAAACCTGTTCAAAACCCCCAAACCCTCCCCAAAACCCCCCCAGCCCACCTGAGCTGCATGCCAATGTTGAGGCTGTGCAGGAAATGCCCCCCAAAGGCCAGCGAGTCCACAGGGGTCAGCACGGCGTGGATCCAGCCTGGGGACAGGCACAGGGAACTGGGGGGACTGGGAGCACTGGGAGGGGCCACTGGGGGACTGGGAGCACCAGGAGGGGCACTGGGATCCACTGGGATCCATTGGAAAAGGGAGTTTTGGTGTTTCTGGGAGCTACTGGGAGTTTCTGGGAGCCCTTGTCTGACCCCCATCCTCACCAGGAGACACTTGGGGGGGTCCCCAAAGCCACCAAACCCTCACCTGGTGACACAGGTGACACTGGGGGGTCTCTGTCCCTGCCACAGGTGACATTGGGGGGCGTTTGGGGTCTGTCCTTGGCACAGGTGACACTGGGGGTGAGTTTGGGGGCCTCTGTCTGTCCCTTGCACAGGTGACACTGGGGGTGTTTGGGGTCTGGCAGAGGTGGCACAGGTGACACTGGGGGTCTCTGTCCCTGCCACAGGTGACATTGGGGGGCGTTTGGGGTCTGTCCTTGGCACAGGTGACACTGGGGGTGTGTTTGGGGTCTGGCACAGGTGGCACAGGTGACACTGGGGGTCTCTGTCCCTGCCACAGGTGACATTGGGGGGCGTTTGGGGTCTGGCAGAGGTGGCACAGGTGACCCTGGGGGTGTGTTTGAGGTCCGGCACAGGTGGCACTGGGGGTGAGTTTGGGGTCTGTCCTTGGCACAGGTGACACTGGGGGTGTGTTTGGGGGCCTCTGTCTGTCCCTTGCACAGGTGACACTGGGGGGTGTTTGGGGTCTGTCCTTGGCACAGATGACACTGGGGGGTGTTTGGGGTCTGGCAGAGGTGGCACAGGTGACACTGGGGGGTGTGTTTGAGGCACAGAGGTTGTGCCCAGGTGTCCCCTCACCTGTGGGGATGAAGAGGGTCTGGCCCTGGCGCAGGTGGCACCGGAAGCACCGATCCACCTGGTCCCCGAAGAAGAGCTCGGGCTGGTTCCGGGAGCTGCTCCAGGCCTCGAACAGCGCCAGGTTGGCGGCCGAGGGTCGCGCCAGGTAAAAGATCTGCTCGCCCTGGGGCACAGGAGAGGGGGACACGTGGGGCAGGTAAGAATGCCAGGTTTCATTCTCCCAAAAATCCCCCAAACATCCTGCAAAACCCCCTAAACCCCCCCCCCAAATCCCCTACAAACTCCCCCTCGTACCCTGAGCATGAGGTACAAGGCTGAGGTGCCCCCGCAGTCGATGTGGAAGTCAGTGCAGCCCAACACCCCCAGCCCCAATTCCCCCAAATCCCCTGTAACTCCCCCCAAATCCCCTATAACCCCCCCCAAATCCCCTATAACTCCCCCCAAATCCCCTATAAACCTCCCCAAATCCCCTATAACCCTCCCCAAATCCCCTATAAACCTCCCCAAATCCCATATAACCCCCCCAAATCCCCTATAACCAACCCCAAATCCCCTATAACTCCCCCCAATCCCCTACAAACTCCCCCTCATACCCTGAAGGCTGAGATACCCCCGCAGTCGATGTGGAAGTCAGTGCAGCCCAACACCCCCAGCCCCAGTACCCCCAAATCCCCTGTAACTCCCCCCAAATCCCCTATAACCCCCCCCAAATCCCCTATAACTCCCCCCAAATCCCCTATAACCCCCCCAAATCCCCTATAACCCTCCCCAAATCCCCTATAACCCCCCCCAAATCCCCTATAACCCCCCCCAAATCCACTACAAACTCCCCCTCATACCCTGAAGGCTCAGATACCCCCGCAGTCGATGTGGAAGTCAGTGCAGCCCAACACCCCCAGCCCCAATTCCCCCAAAAATCCCCTCTCTAACCCCCTGAACCCCCCCTGACCCCTGGAGGACCCCCCCTCGTACCCTGAGCACGTGGTACCAGGCCGAGGTGCCCCCGCAGTCGATGTGGAAGTCGCTGTAGCTGTCCTTGGCCCCCATCAGGCAGAACTTCTGCACGCTCGGCCGCTCCCGCGCCGACTCCCCCGGCCACAGGTTCTCCACCCACGAGAGTTTCCGCACGATCCGTGGGGTCTGCACCAGGTTCGACAGCCTGGGGCACCCCAAAAACAGGGATCAGGGGCTGGGGAACCCCCCCATGGGCAGGGGGTACCCCAGCAGGGAGATGATGCAGTGGGGGATGCTGAGAGGGGCAGGATATGGGATTTTGGGGGTCATTGAGGGGGATGATCCAGGATTTTCGGGATCCCTGTGGTTGGAGGAGGATGGGAGGGGGAGGATCTGGGATTTTGGGGGTCATTGCGGGGGATGATCCAGGATTTTCGGGATCCCTGTGGTTGGAGGAGGAGGGGACGGGGAGGATTTGGGATTTTGGGGGTCATTGCGGGGGATGATCCAGGATTTTCGGGATCCCTGTGGTTGGAGGAGGATGGGAGGGGGAGGATTTGGGATTTTGGGGGTCATTGCGGGGGATGAGCCAGGATTTTCGGGATCCCTGTGGTTGGAGGAGGAGGGGAGGGGGAGGATTTGGGATTTTGGGGGTCATTGCGGGGGATGAGCCAGGATTTTCGGGATCCCTGTGGTTGGAGGAGGAGGGGAGGGGGAGGATTTGGGATTTTGGGGGTCTCCGTGGTTGGGGGAGGTGGGAGGGGAGGCACTGGGAGCACTGGGAGAGACTTGGAGCACTGAGAGGGACTGGGAGGCACCGACAACACCAGCAGGGACTGGGCACTACTGGGAGGCAAAAGGAGGGACTGGGAATACTGGGAAGGACCTGGAAGGACCACGTGGGACTGGCAGTAACGGGAGGCAAAAGGAGGGACTGGGAATACTGGGAAGGACCTGGAAGGACCACGTGGGACTGGCAGTAACGGGAGGCAAAAGGAGGGACTGGGAATACTGGGAAGGACCTGGAAGGACCATGTGGGACTGGCAGCAATGGGAGGCAAAAGGAGGGACTGGGAATACTGGGAAGGACCTGGAAGGACCACATGGGACTGGCAGTAACGGGAGGCGAAAGGAGGGACTGGGAATACTGGGAGTGCTGGGAAGGACTGGGAGAACTGGGAGCCACTGGGACCCACCTCGTGTCTGAGAACTCCAGGCCGGTGACGCTGAGGACGCGCTCGCGCCGGGGTCCCCCCAGATACGCCACGAAGTCCCCGAGGCGCATGCGCAGCTCGGCCTGGCGCCCCACGTCCAGCACGGCCACCACCTTGTCAGCCCCTGTGCGCCCCAAAACTGCCTGAGCACCCCAAAAACGGCTACGGGGACCCCAGTGAAACCTCCCTGCACACCCCAAAACCAGCTGGGAAACACCAAAAACCTCCCCAAACCTCCCTGTGCATGCCAAAACCTCCCCAAGCACCCCAAAAACGGCTACGGGGACCCCAGTGAAACCGCCCTGCACACCCCAAAACCAGCTGGGAAACACCAAAAACCTCCCTGTGCATGCCAAAACCTCCCCAAGCACCCCAAAAACGGCTAGGAGACATGGCTAGGGGGACCCCAGTAATCCCCCAAAACCTCCATGCACCCCAAAACCAGCTGGGAAACACCAAAAACCTCCCCAAACCTCCCTGTGCATGCCAAAACCTCCCCAAGCACCCCAAAAACGGCTAGGAGACATGGCTAGGGGGACCCCAGTAATCCCCCAAAACCTCCCTGCTCACCCCAAAACCAGCTGGGGAACACCAAAAACCTCCCTGTGCATCCCAAAACTTCCCCAAGCACCCCAAAAACGGCTACGGGGACCCCAGTAAAACCTCCCTGCACACCCCAAAACCAGCTGGGAAACACCAAAAACCTCCCCAAACCTCCCTGTGCATGCCAAAACTCCCCAAGCACCCCAAAAACGGCTGGGAGACATGGCTAGGGGGACCCCAGTAATCCCCCAAAACCTCCCTGCTCACCCCAAAACCAGCTGGGAAACACCAAAAACCTCCCTGTGCATCCCTAAATCTCCCCAAGCACCCCAAAACTGGCTGAGGGACCCCAAAAACACCCCCAAACCCTGAACAGGGACCCTCTGGACCCTCACCCACCCCCCCAGGACCCCCCAGTACAGTGTAAGATGCTAACAAGGAGGTGAAGTTACGAGGGGACCCTGCCCCTATTGTGGGGTCCTGGGGACCCCCCGATGCCCCCAAAAGCCCCCCAGGCCCCCCAGACTGACCGACGTGGTGCAGGACGTCGCGGGGGGTGAAGGAGGGCGGGGGCAGGGTCATGCCCAGCCCCTCGTGCCGTGCCACCAGGATGGGCACGCTGAAGCTGTTCTCCTCCAGGTACTCCACCGTCAGCTGGGCCCCGCTGGGCCGCAGCAGCACCTCGTCAGCACTGGGGGGGCAGGGCAGGGGGTGAGACCCCCACCAGTGACCCCAGACCCCTACAGGGACCCCCAGTTCCTATAGGGACCCCCAACCCCTGAGCATTTGCTGGGCCACAGCAGCAGCTGGTCCGTGCTGGGGGGGCAGTGCAGGAGGGTGAGACCCCAGAAGTGACCAACCAACTCCCCCTGGACTGACCAACACCTCCCTGGACTGACCAACACCGAGACTGACCCACACCTGGCACTGACCCACACCTGGCACTGAACCACACCTGGCACTGACCCACACTCAGCACTGACCCACACTCAGCACTGACCCTCACTCAGCACTGACCCACACCTGGCACTGACCCTCACTCAGCACTGACCCTCACTCAGCACTGACCCACACCTGGCACTGACCCCCACCAAAACTGACCCACACCTGGCACTGACCCACACCTGGCACTGACCCTCACTCAGCACTGACCCACACCTGGCACTGACCCACACCTGGCACTGACCCTCACTCAGCACTGACCCCCACCAAAACTGACCCACACCAAAACTGACCCACACCTGGCACTGACCCCAGCCTGGCACTGACCCACACCTAGCACTGACCCACGCCTGGCACTGATTCCAGCCTGGCACTGACCCACACCAAAACTGACCCACACCAAAACTGACCCACACCTGGCACTGACCCTCACTCAGCACTGACCCCCACCAAAACTGACCCCCACCAAAACTGACCCCCACCAAAACTGACCCACACCAAAACTGACCCACACCTGGCACTGACCCCAGCCTGGCACTGACCCACACCAAAACTGACCCACACCTGGCACTGACCCACACCTAGCACTGACCCACGCCTGGCACTGACCCCAGCCTGGCACTGACCCACACCTAGCACTGACCCACACCAAAACTGACCCACACCTGGTACTGACCCACACCTGGCACTGACCCACACCTGGCACTGACCCTCACTCAGCACTGACCCACGCCTGGCACTGACCCACGCCTGGCACTGACCCACGCCTGGCACTGACCCTCACCTGGCACTGACCCACGCCTGGCACTGACCCCAACCTGCTGCCCTGCCCACACCTGGCCATACCCTCACCTGGGGAAGGTGCGGCCCCGCAGCTCCCGGATGAACTGGGCGCTGCCGGTGCGGGCCGGACGACCGGGGTCCTGCTCCGGGGCCTTGGCCGGGCCACGGCGCCGCTTCACTGCGGGACACGGGGACACGGTGGGGACACAGTGGGGACACAGTGGGGACACAGTGGGGACACAGATGGGGACACACAGGGAACCAGGGACAGAGAAACATGCAGGGATCCCCACAGAGCCCAGAGCATCTCCCCCGCCCCCATCCCAGTCCCTCCCAGTCCCTCCCAGTCCCACTCACTGACGGAAGGCCCCCTGAGCACGGCGCACTGGGGGCAGTGGTACAGGTCGATCTCCGCCGCCGCCTCCTCCTCCACCCCCACACAGCTGTGGGGACATCCCAGTAACTCCCAGTGCCTCCCAGTAACCTCCAGGCACCTCCCCAATAACCCTCAATGCCTCCCAGTAACCACCAGACACCTCCCCAATAACCCTCAATGCCTCCCAGTAACCACCAGACACCTCCCCAGTAACCCTCAATGCCTCCCAGTAACCACCAGACACCTCCCCAGTAACCCCCATCACACCCCAGAACTCTCTTTGTACCTCCCAGTCCCTCCCAGTACTCTGAAGACACCCCCCAGACTTCTCCCAGTGCCCTCCAGTACCACCCAGGCTTCTCCCAGTCCTTCCCAGTTCCCCCTCAAATCCCTTCCAGTAATCCTGGACTTCTCCCAGTCCCCTCCAGCACCCTCCAGATGCCTCCCAGTACCCCTCAGTACCTCCCAGACTTATCCCAGTCCTTCCCAGTACCCCCAGTCCCTTCCCGACAACTCCCGGTCTCCCCCCAGTGCCTCCCAGTACCCTCCAGATTCCTCCCAGTATCTCCCACACTTGTCCCAGTCCTTTCCAGTACCCCCAGTCCCTCCCAGACAACTCCCGGTCTCCCCCCAGTGCCTCCCAGTCCCCTCCAGATGCCTCCCAGTATCTCCCACACTTGTCCCAGTCCTTCCCAGTACCCCAAGTCCCTCCCAGACAACTCCCAGTCTCCCACCAGTGCCTCCCAGTCCTTCCCAGTCCCCTCCAGCACCCTCCAGATGCCTCCCAGTACCCCCCAGACTTGTCCCAGTCCTTCCCAGTGCCCTCCAGTCTTCTCCCAGTCCCCCACCAGTGCTTCCCACTACCCCCAGTCCCCCTCCCAGTCCTTCCCAGTGCCCTCCAGTCTTCTCCCAGTCCCCCACCAGTGCCTCCCACTACCCCCAGTCCCCCTCCCAGTCCTTCCCAGTGCCCTCCAGCACCCTCCAGATGCCTCCCAGTACCTCCCAGTGCCCTCCAGTCTTCTCCCAGTCCCCCACCAGTGCCTCCCAGTCCCCTCCAGATTCCTCCCAGTATCTCCCACACTTGTCCCAGTCCTTCCCAGTACCCCAAGTCCCTCCCAGTCTTCTCCCAGTCCCCCCACCAGTGCCTCCCAGTCCCCTCCAGCACCCTCCAGATGCCTCCCAGTACCTCCCAGACTTGTCCCAGTCCTTCCCAGTGCCCTCCAGTCTTCTCCCAGTCCCCCACCAGTGCTTCCCACTACCCCCAGTCCCCCTCCCAGTCCTTCCCAGTGCCCTCCAGCACCCTCCAGATGCCTCCCAGTACCTCCCAGTGCCCTCCAGTCTTCTCCCAGTCCCCCACCAGTGCCTCCCAGTCCCCTCCAGATGCCTCCCAGTATCTCCCACACTTGTCCCAGTCCTTCCCAGTGCCTCCCAGTACCCCAAGTCCCTCCCAGTCTTCTCCCAGTCCCCCCACCAGTGCCTCCCAGTCCTTCCCAGTCCCCTCCAGCACCCTCCAGATGCCTCCCAGTACCTCCCACACTTGTCCCAGTCCTTCCCAGTGCCCTCCAGTCTTCTCCCAGTCCCCTACCAGTGCCTCCCACTACCCCCAGTCCCCCTCCCAGTCCTTCCCAGTGCCCTCCAGTCTTCTCCCAGTCCCCCCCAGTGCTCCCAGTCGCACCTGCCGTGGAACCAGTCCTGGCAGCCATCGCACTCGATCATGAAGCGGGTCACGTCGTAGGGCAGGCGGCACAGGCAGTACACGGGCACCGAGGCCATGGCCGGGCCCCCGGGGCGACCCCCGACCCTACGGACCCCCGCGACCCCCCCCGGCCCGGGACATCCGCGCACTGCCCGCCAGACCCCCGAAAATCCCCTCAAAAAAAAAACCCAAAAAACACCCTCAAAATCACTCCAAAGGCAGCCTCAAAAAGATCTCCAAAACTGCCCAAAAAAACCCCAGAAACAGCCTCAGAATCCCCCCCTAGAACAACCTCAGCAAAAACACAAGAACAGCCTCCGAAAACTCCCCTAAAACACCCCCCAAAAAACTCCCGCAAAAAAGAAAAAAAAAAATCAAAAAAAAAAAACCCCAAAATCAAGCCCTAGGCTGCTCCCCTGTAAACACCCCCAAAGCCCCCCCAGACCGCGGCCCTGAGGGGAATTGGGGAGCACAACCCCCTAAAAAAACCGATATGGGCCGGGGGCACCCTAAAAGAGCCTGCGGAGACTTGGGATCCCCTCAGGTATTGATGAGAGCCTAAGACCTCCCCAAAAATACACAGAGATGTAGGGCGACCCCTCCAAGGGTCACCGAGGCACTGTGACCCCCTCCCCGAGGCCCAGAGCCCCCCAAAAATGCGCCCACAGGACGCCCTCCACCCCTATAGCGTGTGGGGACCCCCAAAAGCGCCGCAAGGCCCGGGGTCCCCTCACAGCGTCCGCGGGGCCCCGGCCTCCCCCTCCCCCCGCGTTGTGGAGCCCCCGAGACCCCCCAAAGACCCGAAGGACCCCCTAAAAGCTTTGGGGATCCCCAAAAAGCCGCCGACACCCCCACAAGGCCGGCGGGACCCCCTCGAGGCCTGCGGGCCGCCGCGAGGCCTGCGCCCCCCCCCACCGCCACCTCCCGACTAGGCCGCAGCCCGCCCCGGCAAGGCCCAGCGCTTCTCGCGGCCGCTCCTCCGCCGCCGCCCGGTCGCTACCGCCGCTGCCGGCCCCGGGCCCGGTGCTGCCGCCGCCGCCGCGGCCTCTGCGCGCTCCGGGCCGCCCGGGAAAGTTTTATTCAAACGCGGAAACGGGGAGGGAGAGGGCGGGGCTCGGCCGCCATTTTGGCCGCGTCGCGCCGCCATCTTGGGAAGGGCGAGGGCGCCCCCATTGGGTGTGCGGGGGGCGGGGCCGCCATCTTGGGCGTGGCGCCGCCTTCGCCGCTCGACTGTCGCGGTCCGGCCGCCATTTTGGGAGTGGCGCGCACCAGCCACGCTTTTATTTCTTACATTTTAGGATTTTTTTTTTTTTTTTCGCGCTTTTTAACAATTTCCCCGCAAAACAAACGCCTTCCCCACCCTCTCGAACCAGAACACTCGAGAATTCACCCCGAAACCTTGCTGGCTTGGTGAAGGGGTGAGGTAGATGAGAGGAAAACACGACAAAATGACCCAAAAATGGGTTGAGGGTACAGGAATGAGAGGGGGTTGTTGCACCAGTATGACCAGTATGGGGGGGTGGGTCACCAGTAAACCCAGTACAGCCCACCTGCCTCTACTGTGGTCACATTAGGAAAAATTCCAAGCCTGTGAGGGGCTTTGGGTGAAAAATGGGAATTCTGGGGACTCTGAAGTGTTTTCAGGGGGAAAAAAGAGGAATTTTTAGATAAATGAAACATCGGGGTTCAACTGTTTGTGTTTTAGGGCAAACTGAAGCCGTTTAAGGGCTAAAAATTGGGTTGCTTTGTGTGGGGACAAAAGAGTGGCAAGGCCCAAAAAAAGGGATTTTTGTCTGAAATGAGGAGATTTTGGGGCTGAAAACTGGGATGATATCCTGTGGGGGAAGGGCAGGCCCTAAAAGAGAATTTTTGGGATGAAATTATGCGATTTGGGGAGCAAAAAGTGGGGTAATGTTGTAGGAGGGGTAAAAAAAGGGGAGATAGGCCCAAAAAAAGGGGTTTTGGGATGAAACAAGGCAATTTTGGGGCCAACAAGTGGCATCACGTTCAGGGAGGTGGAAAAGAGACGTGGAAAGGCCACAAAAAATGAGATTTTTGGGGTGAAATGAGGTGATTTGGGGGCTAAAAAATGGGGTCACCTCATGCAGAGGGGGAAAGGCCCAAAAAGGGAATTTTGGGGTAGAATGAGGGATTTAGGGCAGAAAATTGGGGTTGGCAGGGCACAAAAAAGGGGAGTTTTGGAGTGAAATGAGGGGATTTTGGGCACCAGAAAGTGCAGTCACCTTGCAAACAGGGAGTAACACAAAAAAAGGGGGGTTGGGATACAATAGAGAGATTTTGGATCCAAAAAGGGGGAATTTGGGGTCAAAATGAGGTGGTTTCGGGGCCAGAAATTGAGGGGGGGGGGGGCTTGAGTATCCTAAAAAGGGGATTTTGGGGGTGAATTGAGGCCAAAAATTCAGCCCAAGGGGGCAGCAAAAAAGGGGGAATTTTAGGGCAAAATAAGGCAATTTTGGGGCCAGAAATAGGGGTCACAGCACAGGACCCAAATTAGGGGAATTTTGAGGTGAAACGAGGTCATTTTAGGGCTGGAAATTTGGGGTCACCCAATGTGGGAGTAAAACAAGGGGGTTTTGGGGTGAAACAAAGGAATTTGGGGGCTGAAAATTGGGGTTTTGACCCAAAATCAGGGGGGTTGGAGGGGTCAGGGTCTGGGGACCCCCCCTCACTCGGCCCCTGGGGGGAGGGGGCTGCCCCCCCCACGCAGGGCAGGTTTTGGGGGGGGCAGCTCCCCCCATTTTCGGGGGGTCCCACGAGTGCCACGCAGGGTGGAGACCCAGGAGGAGGTGGCCTGGGGGAGTGGGGGGAAAAAAAGGGGTGTTCAGGTTTTGGGGATCCCCCCCAGACCCCCAAAAAGGGGGTGAAGTGCACCCCCAACCCCCCCAAAAATGAGTGTGGGGATCCCCCAGACACCAAAAAAGGAAGTTCAGGATCCCCCCCAAGCCATGCCAGCCCCCCAAGATGCCCCCAGCCCCCCAAAAATGGGGTGAAGCTCCCCAAAATGGGGTGCAGCCCCCCCAGTAGATCCCCTCATACCCCCAAAAAGGGGGTTCAGCTCCCTAAAAGCAATCTCAGCCCCTCCCCAAAAAACCCTCTCAGCTTTCCCACCCACCCCAAGACTCCCAAAAATGGGGTGCATGGCCCCTCTAGCCCCCCAAAATCCCCTGAGCACCCCAAAAATGGGATGCAGCCCCCCCAGCCCCCCAATAACCATCTCAGCCCCACCCCCCAAAAATCCCCCCAGGCTCCCAAAAAGCCCTCCCGACCCCTAAAAATGGGATACAGGGCCCCTCTAGTCCCCCAAAAAAGGGGTGCAGGCCTCCCACCCCCCCCAAACAATCCCTCCAGCTCCCCAAAGTCCCCCCCAGATCCCCAAAGTCCCCCCCAGCCCCCCCACCTGGGCCCTGGCCGTGTCCTGGACCCACTCATCCACCAGCCGGTGCAGGTCGTCGGTGAAGAGCCCCTTTTTTGGGGGGGCCGGGGGGGTTGGGGGGCCTGGGGAGGGGGCTGAGGCTTCTGTGGGTGAGGGAGAGGAGTTTGCAAACCAGAGGAGCACCCCAGGGCCCACCTGCACCCAAAAACCTCCCCCTGCACCCCAAAACCCCTCCTCCCTGCACGGCAAAACCTCTTTTTACCCCAAACTGTGCACCCCCAAAATCCCAAAATTCCTCTCTGCACCCTAAAACTTCCCCTTTTTACCCCTAAACCTCTTTCTTCACACACAAAATCCCCTCTTTGTACCCCAAAACCTCCCCCAGTACCCCAAAATCCCCTCCTTGCTCCCCAACGTCCCCTTTGCACCCCATAACCCTCTTAGCCTCAACCTCCCAACACCCCAAACTCTTCATACCCCAAACCCCCTCCCCCTGCACCCCAAAACCTCCGCTTTTTACCCCAAACCCCCTCCCCTGCACCCCAAAACCTCCCCTTTTAACCCCAAACCCCCTTCCCTGCACCCCAAAACCTCCGCTTTTAACCCCAAACCCCCTCCCCCTGCACCCCAAAACCTCCCCTTTTAACCCCAAACCCCCTCCCCTGCACCCCAAAACCTCTGCTTTTTACCCCAAACCCCCTCCCCCTGCACCCCAAAACCTCTGCTTTTTACCCCAAACCCCCTTCCCTGCACCCCAAAACGTCCCCTTTTAACCCCAAACCCCCTCCCCCTGCACCCCAAAACCTCCCCTTTTAACCCCAAACCCCCTCCCCCTGCACCCCAAAACCTCTGCTTTTTACCCTAAACCCCCACCCCCTGCACCCCAAAACCTCCCCTTTTTACCCCAAACCCCCTCCCCCTGCACCCCAAAACCTTCCCTTTTTACCCCAACCCCCTTCCTCCACCCCAAAATCCCCTCTTTGTCCCCCCAAATCCCCTCCTTGCCCCCCAAAATCCCCTCCTTGCCCCCCCAAATCCCCTCTTTGTCCCCCCAAAATCCCCTCCTTGCCCCCCCAAATCCCCTCCTTGCCCCCCAAAATCCCCTCCTTTCCCCCCAAACCTGTCAGGGCCACTCCCCGGCCCCTCCCTCGCGCCCGGGCCCCCCGAGGCCGCCGCGGGGACCCCCCGTGGCCACGCTGGGGGGGGGTCCCACCGCCCCCTCCCCATTTTGGGGGGTCCCCCCGGGCCTCTTTGAGGGCCCGGAGCCGCCGGTGCAGCTCCCGCAGCTCCCGGTCCTGCCGTGCCCGCAGCTCCAGAACCTCCTGGATGTGCCTGGGGGGACCAGGGAGGGTCACAGAGGGTCCCCAAAACCTCCTCGAGACCCCCAAAACCTCCCCAAGACCCCCAAAACCTCCCCTGAGCCCCCAAATCCCCCCGGGGAGCTGCACTGGTGGCTCCTGGACATGCTTGGAGGGGTCCAGCGGGGTCCCAGTCCTGCCACATTCAGCTCCAGCACCTCCTGGATATGCCCAGGTGGGGTCGGGGGGGTGTCCCCAAACCTCTCCAAACCCCAAAACCTCCTCAGGACCCCCCAAATCCCCCCAAAGCCCCTCACTCACTTTTCCCGCAGCCGCCGCAGCTGCTCCCGCAGCGCCTCGTCCTCGGGCTCCGAATCCCCGTCGCTGCTCAGGGGGGTCTCAGGGGACCCCGGGGGGAGCAGGGGGGCCCCGGGGGGGTGCGGGGGTCCCCCCAGCCCCCCACTCTCACTGCCTGAGCTGGGGCCCCCCCAGTCGCCCTCGGGGTCGGTGGGCTCAGGGGGTGGCTAGGAAGGGACAGGGGGAGAGAGGGGTGACAGGAGATGGGGGTCAAGAGGGAGGGATTTGGGGTCCCTGGGGCAGTTTGGGGGTCTCTGGGGTAGTTTTGGGGATCTCCGAGGCTGTTTGGAGGGGTCCCTGGGGCAGTTTGGGGGTTTCTGAGGTAGTTCTGGGGTCCCTGGGGCAGTTTGGGGGTCTCTGGGGTAGTTTTGGGGATCTCCGAGGCTGTTTGGAGGGGTCCCCGGGACATTTTGGGGGTTTCTGAGATAGTTCTGGGGTCCCTGGGGCAGTTTGGAGGTCCCTTGGAACAGTTTGGGGGGTCCCCAGGACAGTTTGGGGGTTTCTGAGGTAGTTCTGGGGTCCCTGGGGCAGTTTGGAGGTCCCTTGGAACAGTTTGGGGGGTCCCCAGGACAGTTTGGGGGTTTCTGAGGTAGTTCTGGGGTCCCTGGGGCAGTTTGGAGGTCCCTTGGAACAGTTTGGGGGGTCCCCGGGACAGTTTGGGGGTTTCTGAGGTGGTTCTGGGGTCCCTGGGGCAGTTTGGGGATTCCTTGGGCCAGTTTAGGGGGTTCCTGGGGCAGATCAGGGGTCTCTGGGGTGGTTTGGGGGTCCCTCAGAACAGTTTGGGGGGTCCCCGGGGCAGTTTGGGGGTCCCTTGGAACAGTTTGGGGGGTCCCCGGGATAGTTTGGGGGTTTCTGAGGTAGTTCTGGGGTCCCTGGGGCAGTTTGGAGGTCCCTCGGAACAGTTTGGGGGGTCCCCGGGACAGTTTGGGGGTTTCTGAGGTAGTTCTGGGGTCCCTGGGGCAGTTTGGGGATTCCTTGGGCCAGTTTAGGGGGGTCCTGGGGCAGATCAGGGGTCTCTGGGGTGGTTTGGGGGTCCCTGGGATAACTCTGGAGTCTCTTGGGGTAGTTCTGAGGTCTCTGGGGCAGTTTTGGGGGGCTCCATGTGGCAGTTTTAGGGTTCCTGGGGCCCTTTGGGGTCCCCAACACCCACCTGGCAGTGCCCTTGCCTTGGGGGGTCCCCGAGTTCCTCTGGCTCCTCTGTGGGACGGGGAGGTCATGGGGGGTCACAGGGGGAAATGGGGGTACGGGGGGGGCACACGGGGGGGTAAATGGTGGTATGGGGGGCACAGATGGGGTACAGATGGGGGTACAGATGGAGTTTAGGGGTACATGGGGGGCACAGATGGGGTACAGATGGGGGCACAGATGGGGTTTAGGGGTACATGGGGGGCACAGATGGGGTTTAGGGGTACATGGGGGGCACAGATGGGGTTTAGGGGTACAGGGGGGCACAGATGGGGGTACAGATGGAGTTTAGGGATACAGAGGGGCACAGATGAGGTTTAGGGGTACGGGGGGGCACAGATGGGGTTTAGGGGTACGGGGGAGCACAGATGGGGTTTAGGGGTACACACATAGGGTTTAGGGGTACGGGGGGGCACAGATGGGGTGTGGGGCTCCCCAGGGGTTTTGGGGTCCCCCCATACCTGTGTGGGGGTCTCCCCCCACGGAAGGGGGGCGCAGGCGCCGGGCCCAGCTCTTGATGCGGCGCCCCCAACCCTTGCGGGGGCTGCGCAGGCGGGGGCACAGCCCCAGCGGGAACGAGGCAGCCCCGGGCGGGGGGCGGGCGGGGGGCACGGCCTGCAGAACGGGAACGGGAACGGGATTGGGAACGGAATGGGAACGGGATTGGGAATGGGAATGGGATTGGGACTGGGGGCACGGCCTGCGGAACGGGAACGGGATTGGGAACGGGAATGGGAACGGGAATGGGAATGGGAACGGGAATGGGATTGGGATTGGGGGCACGGCCTGCGGAATGGGAACAGGAATGGGAACGGGAATGGGAATGGGAACGGGATTGGGAACGGGATTGGGAACAGGAATGGGATTGGGAATGGGGGCACGGCCTGCGGAACGGGAACGGGATTGGGAACGGGAACGGGAATGGGAACGGGATTGGGAATGGGAATGGGGGCACGGCCTGCGGAACGGGAACGGGAATGGGACTGGGAATGGGAACGGGATTGGGAACGGGAATGGGAACGGGAACGGGAATGGGATTGGGGGCAAGGCCTGCGGAACGGGAACGGGATTGGGATTGGGAACGGGAATGGGAATGGGAACGGGAATGGGAACGGGACTGGGAATGGGAACGGGATTGGGGGCACGGCCTGCGGAACGGGAACGGGATTGGGAACGGGAACGGGAACGGGAATGGGGGCACGGCCTGCAGAACGGGAACGGGAACGGGATTGGGAATGGGAACGGGATTGGGAATGGGGGCACGGCCTGCGGAACGGGAACGGGATTGGGAACGGGAACAGGACTGGGGGCACGGCCTGCGGAACGGGAACGGGATTGGGAACGGGAACGGGATTGGGAATGGGGGCACGGCCTGCGGAACGGGAACGGGATTGGGAACGGGAACGGGAATGGGATTGGGAATGGGGGCACGGCCTGCGGAACGGGAATGGGATTGGGAACGGGAATGGGAATGGGATTGGGAATCGGAATGGGATTGGGATTGGGAACGGGATTGGGAACGGGACTGGGAACGGGAATGGGACTGGGAACGGGAATGGGGGCATGGCCTGCGGAATGGGAACGGGAATGGGATTGGGAACGGGAATGGGAATGGGAATGGGAACATGAGTGGGAATGGGAATGGGAATGGGATTGGGAACAGGAACAGGAACGGGACTGGGAACGGGAGTGGGAACGGGAATGGGAACGGGAACGGGAATGGGATGTGGAATGGGACTGGGAACGGCATTGGGATTGGATTGGGAACAGGAATGTGATTGGGAACGGGAACGGGAGTGGGAACGGGATTGGGAACAGGAATGTGATTGGGAACGGGAACGGGATTGGGAGCACAGCCTGAGGAACAGGAACGGGATTGGGAATGGGAATGGGAACAGGAATATGAGAATGGGATCAGGAATGGAAATATGGGAATGGGGATGGGAATATGGAAATGGTAATGGGTTCAGGAATGGGGATGGGAATATGGGAATGGGAACGGGAAACGGAATGGGAACGGGATTGGCAACAGGGATGGGATTGAGAACAGGAATGGGAACTGGAATATGGGAATGAGGATGGGATTGGGAATGAGGATGGGAATATGGGAACAGGAATGGGAATTGGGATGGGAACAGGGTGGGAATGGGGATGTGAATGGGATCAGGACTGGGGATGGGGATGGAATGGGAACAGGGCGTCAGCACAGCCAGGGTACACCAGGGTCAGCGGGATCCCGGGGTTGAGGGTTTGGGGACACGGAGGTTTTGGGATTGGGGGGATACCACAGGCTGGGCTTGAGGGGACACTGGGGCCTGGGGTCATCAAGGTCTTGAGGTTTTGGGAGACATCAGGATCTTGAGGTTGGGGATTTGGGGTCATCGGCCTCTTGGGATTTTGGGTTTGGGGGATACTGACACCTTGAAGTTAAAGGGGCATCAGGAGCATGGGGGTTTGGGTTTAGGGTCATTGGGTCTTGGAGCTGGGGGTCATCAAGGCCTTGGGGCTGAGGTTCTGGGGTCATTGGGGCATTGGGGTTTGGGGTTCAGGGACACCAAGGACTCAGAGTTTGGGGGACAGGGAATTTGGGGTTGGCTACAATCATTCCTGGTCTTTGGGGAACACCGAGGTCTTGGGATTTGGGTTTGGGGGACACCAAAATTCTGGGGATAAGGACAGTGGCCTCTGGTCCTTGAGGGACACTGAGACCTTGGGGACTGGAGGACACCTGGGGCTCGGAGGTGTCCAGCTCTTGGAGTGGGGAACACTCACCTTTGGTCCTGGTGGTCCCTCCTGTCCCCAAGCACCGGTGACAAACGTCCCCAGTCCTTGGGGGTCACCTGGTGGCTCTGGGGGCCCAGTGACGAATGTCCCCAGTCCTTGGAGGTCACCTGGCTCTTGGGACACATCTGGCTCTGGGGGGTCGGGCGGTTCCCTGGGTCCCTCCTGCTCCCATGGGGCAGTGACTGTCCCCTGCTCCTGGGGGACACCCGGCTCTGCGTTCCCAGGGACGAGGGGCTCTTGGTGGCCATCGAGCTCCGGAGGTTTGGGGACAGCCACATCCAGATGTCCAGAGCTGGGGTCACTCAGCCCCAGGCCTTGGGGAGCCCCCAGATCTTGGGCTTCGAGGTTGATCTTCTCTGGTGTGACCTCCTGGGGACTGGTGACAGCTGTCCCCAAAGCCTGGGGGACACCCAGCTCCTCCGGTTTGGGGACAGCCGACCCCTGGCCCTGGGGGACATCGAGGTCCTGGGCGTTGGAGACCCCAGTCTCTGGTCCCCCTGGCCCGTCCTGCTCCGACGCTCCGCTCTTGTTTGTCCCCTGTCCTTGGGGACCCCCCTGGGATGTCCCCAGGGCTCTCCGGGTGGGTGGGGGTCCCCCGGGGCCTGTGGGGAGGGGATACCCCCGTCAGGGATGGGGGTGTGGGTGACACCCCATCAGGGACAGGGGTGTGGGTGACACCCCTCAGCCCTGGGGGGGTGGTGGCAGGTCCGTGTCCCCTCCCAGCCCCTGGGGACGCACCGGTGGCCTCGCGGTTCCGGATGGTTTGGTTGATGCAGAACCTCCAGCGCCCCACGGGCGATGACTGGGGGGGGGCCTTCCCCTGGTGGGGGGCGAGGGGGTCAGAGGGTGGGGGGTGACCCCAACCCCCTCACCCCTCCCCCACTACTCACCACCCACTGGCGGCTCCAGGGGTCCCACCTGGGGGGAGACACATGTGGGGGGTCAGCGGGGGTCTGGGTGGGGTGGGAGGAGGGGTGGGGTGGGGCAGGGGGAGCACCTGGGGGTCCGGGGTGGGGGTCCCGAGGAGCTCCCGGGCCTGTGTCACGATGGCCTTGAGCTCCTCCACGAACTTGTCCCGCTCCCCCTCCAGGACAAAGTTGTCCTCGACCTGTGGGGAGGGGGGGACAGAGATTGGGGAAGGGGACATGGACTGGGGACACGGGGACACAGAGTGGGGAGGGGACTCGGATTGTGGGGGAGATGTGGGTTGGGGAGGGGGACACAGATTGGGGAAGAGGACGTGGTTTGGGGGGGCACAGATTGAGGGAGAGGGACATGGACTGGAGGCAAGGGACTCGCTCCAGAGGTGGACATTGGCTGGGGAGGGGACAGGGACAGAGACTGGGGAAGGGGACACGGGGACAGCTCGGGGCTTGGGGGTCACCATGTAGCAGGCGATGTCCTCGGGCGCGTCCCCGTCCGCGTCAAACCTGAAGGTGACCATCTTGCTGTCGTGGGTCTCCAGCTGGCACTCCACCGTGTTGTCCCCAGCTGAGGACACCTGGGGGGTGGTGACACTCTGTGACCATGCTGGGATGTCCCCACGCAGCCCCCCACAGCCCCCAGCCCCACCCTGACCTGCAGCACGGTGAGCTGGAAGCGGGCGGGGCGCTGGCACGACGCGCGGCGCTGCCGGGCACGCGGCCCGGGGACCTCGGGGACATCGGAGACACGCAGCAGGGACGCGGCCTCGGCGGGCACCGAGGGGTCCTCGGGGCCAGGGAGCACTGGGGGTTGTAGCATTGGGGACGGTGGTGGCATCTCTGGGGCCGGTGGCATCCCCACGGCTGGTGGCATCATGGATGGTGGTGGCATCTCTGGAGCTTGTGGCATCCCCACGGCTGGTGGCATCATGGATGGTGGTGGCATCTCTGGAGCTTGTGGCATCCCCACGGCTGGTGGCATCATGGATGGTGGTGGCATCTCTGGAGCTTGTGGCATCCCCACGGCTGGTGGCATCATGGATGGTGGTGGCATCTCTGGAGCTTGTGGCATCCCCAGGGCTGGTGGCATCATGGATGGTGGTGGCATCTCTGGAGCTTGTGGCATCCCCACGGCTGGTGGCAGCACAGCTGGAGGTGGCACCCCTGGGGCTGGTGGCAGCACAGATGAAGTTGGCATCCCTTGGGCTGGTGGCATCATGGGTGGAGCTGGCATCCCTTGTGCTGGTGGCATCCCTTGTGCTGGTGGCATCACCATGGCTGGTGGCACCATGGACGATGGTGGCATCTCTGAGGCTGGTGGCATCATGGACGATGGTGGCATCCCTTGGGCAGGTGGCACCCCTGGGGCTGGTGACACCCCCATGACTGGTGGCATCACAGACGGAGGTGGCATCCCTTGTGCTGGTGGCATCATGGATTGGGTTGGCATCTCCGGGGCTGATGACATCCCCATGACTGACGTCATGATGGACAGTGGTGGAACCCCCAGAGCTGGTGACATCCCCACCACTGCTGGCATCCCTGGAGCTGGTGACATCCCTGGCACCAGCTGCGGCTGCATGGTGGGGACTGGCTGTGGTGGCATCCCCTGGGCTGGTGGCATCCCAGATGGTGGTGGCATTCCTGGACCTGGTGGCATTCCTGGACCTGGTGGCATCCCCTGGGCTGGTGGCATTCCTGGACCTGGTGGCATTCCTGGACCTGGTGGCATCCCCTGGGCTGGTGGCATTCCTGGACCTGGTGGCATTCCTGGACCTGGTGGCATTCCTGGACCTGGTGGCATCCCAGGGGTTTTCGGTGGCATTCCAAGGCCTGGCTGCAGCTGCACCATGGGGACCAACTGTGGTGGCACCCCAGCCAGGGGTGGCACCCCTTGTGCTGGTGTCACCCCTGGCACTGGTGCCATCCCCTGGGCTGGTGGCATTCCGGCTGGAGGTGGCACCCCCAGAGCTGGTGGCACCCCCAGAGCTGCTGTCCCCCCTGAGGCTGGTGGCACTCCAGTAGGAGGTGGCACTCCTGGCGCTGGTGACACTCCAGGAGCCGCTGTCACCCCCGCAGCTGGCAGTGCCACCCCTGCTGCCACTCTCGGTGCCATCCCCGGCCCCGGTGCCCCAGGTGCCACCTGTGGCTGTGTCCCCACTGTCACCGACCCCCCGCCACAGCCACAGGGGTCCCCCTCAGGCCCAGCTGGCTCCATGGTGGCTCCTCCGGTGCCATCCTCTGCTGTCCCCTCGGTCCCCTGCGTCACCTGCAGGACACGGGGCAGTGCCAGGGGGGTCTGGACCCCCCCCAGGACCCCCCAGTGTGGTGGACACTTACCAGTGGTGGCACAGGGGGGGACACCCCATCCTGGGGTCCCTGTGGGTACCCCCAGAGCTGCTCAGGTGCCCCGGTGACACCGCAGGAGCCGGGGACATCTGGGGGTGGGGGGTTGTCCAGGAGCCCCTCAGCTGTGGGGAGGGAGCAGAGGGGGGGGGTCACTGCTGGGGGGTCTCACTGGGGGCAGGGGGCACCTTGAGCAGTTTGGGGGAACAAGAGGGGCAGTTTTGGGGGGGCTGGGGGCAGCCTGGGGGGGGTCCAGGGGCAGTTTTGAGGGGCTGGGGGAAGCCCAGGGGTCACATCAGTGGCAGAGTGGCATTTTTGGGGGGCCAGGGGCAGTTTTGGGGGCAGTGGGGTCAGTTTGGAGGGGCTGGGGGAAGCCCAGGAGTCTGGGGGCAGTTTTGAGGGGTTGGGAACAGTTTTGGGGTGTAGTTTGAGGGTCTGGGGGCAGTTCTGGGTGTCCAGGGGCAGTTCTGGGGGCACTGAGGGCAGTTCTAGGGTGCAGTTTGAGGGTCTGGGGGCAGTTCTGGGTGTCCAGGGGCAGTTTGGGGGGCTGGGGGCAGTTCTAGGGTGCAGTTTGAGGGTCTGGGGGCAGTTCTGGTTGTCCAGGGACAGTTTTGGGGACACTGGGGGCAGTTCTAAGGTGCAGTTTTAGGGTCTGGGGGCAGTTTTGAGGGGTTGGGAACAGTTTTGGGGTGTAGTTTGAGGGTCTGGGGGCAGTTCTGGGTGTCCAGGGGCAGTTCTGGAGGCACTGAGGGCAGTTTTAGGGTGCAGTTTGAGAGTCTGGGGGCAGTTCTGGGTGTCCAGGGGCAGTTTTGGGGGCCCTGAGGACAGTTTTAGGGTCTGGGGGCAGTTCTGGGTGTCCAGGGGCAGTTTTGGGGGACTGGGGGCAGTTTGAGGGTCTGGGGGCAGTTCTGGGTGTCCAGGGGCAGTTTTGGGGACACTGGGGGCAGTTTTAGGGTCTGGGGGCAGTTCTGGGTGTTCAGGGGCAGTTCTGGGTGTCCAGGGGCAGTTTTGGGGACCCTGGGGGCAGTTCTAGGGTGCAGTTTTGAGGGTCTGGGGGCAGTTCTGGGTGTCCAGGGGCAGTTTTAGGGTCTGGGGGCAGTTCTGGGTGTCCAGGGGCAGTTCTGGGGGCACTGAGGGCAGTTCTAGGGTGCAGTTTGAGGGTCTGGGGGCAGTTTTAGGGTCTGGGGGCAGTTCTGGGTGTCCAGGGGCAGTTCTGGGGACACTGGGGGCAGTTCTAGGGTGCAGTTTTAGGGTCTGGGGGCAGTTCTGGGTGTCCAGGGGCAGTTCTAGGGTGCAGTTTGAGGGTCTGGGGGCAGTTTTGGGGTCTGGGGGCAGTTCTGGGTGTCCAGGGGCAGTTTTGGGGGCCCTGAGGGCAGTTCTAGGGAGCAGTTTGAGGATCTGGGGGCAGTTCTGAGTGTCCAGGGGCAGTTTTGGGGGCACTGGGGGCAGTTTTAGGGTCTGGGGGCAGTTCTGGGTGTCCAGGGGCAGTTCTAGGGTGCAGTTTGAGGGTCTGGGGGCAGTTTTAGGGTCTGGGGGCAGTTCTGGGTGTCCAGGGACAGTTTTGGGGACACTGGGGGCACTTTTAAGGAGCAGTTTGAGGCTCTGGGGGCAGTTTTGGGGTCTCACCAGGGCCGGGCGGGGGCTGCTCCCGCAGCAGCTGCTGCCGCACGTGCTGATCCACCTCGGTGTCCTCACTTTCGGGGACCCCCCGGCTCTCGGGGCCCCCCCGGCCCTCCGCCTGCTTCTTCTCCCGCGTCTTCCTCACCAGCGCCAGCCGGTCCCGGATGGATTTGGCCACGGCCTTGGAGTCGCTCTCGTGGAAGAACCCGGATTTCACCTGAGGAGGGGAATTTGGGGTGTCCAGGGGGGCAGCGAGAGCTGGGGGGGCTCGGGATTGGCTCCAGAGGGAATTTTGGGAAGTGTTGGTTTTGGGAGAGGTTCAAGGTGAGGTTCAGGGATGAATTTTTGGGGTGTCAGTTTTGGGAGAGGTTCAAGGTGAGGTTCGGGGATGAATTTTGGGGGGTGTCGGTTTTAGGAGAGGTTCAAGGTGAGGTTCAGGGATGAATTTTGGAGCGTCGTTGGTTTTAAGAGAGGTTCAAGGTGAGGTTCAGGGATGAATTTTGGGGTGTCAGTTTTGGGAGAGGTTCAGGGATGAATTTTGGGGGGTGTTGGTTTTGGGAGAGGTTCAGGGATGAATTTTGGGGGGTGTTGGTTTTGGGAGAGGTTCAAGGTGAGGTTCAGGGATGAATTTTTGGGGTGTCAGTTTTGGGAGAGGTTCAAGGTGAGGTTCAGGGATCAGTTCTGGGGGAGAAGTTCCAGATGAGGTTAAAGGATGAATTTTGGGGCATTGTTGGTTTTGGGAGAGGTTCAAACTGAGGTTGATAGATTAATTTTGGGGTGACTTTTGCTCTGGAAGGGGCTCAAGAAGAGTTGGTGGGACCAACTCTTGGGCTCCTGGGTGGATTTTGGGATGTCACCGCCTTTGGGGATGTCCAAGATGAGCTTGAGCCACAATTTTGGAGGTTCATTGTGTTTGGGGAGAATCGACACCAATTTGGGCCCAACCCTGAGGGGTCTTGGGGTCACTCCCTCACCATCTCATAGGCCACCTCCTCAGGGACATCAGCCTCTAGGTTGAAGCTGAACTCGATGGCCTCGTTGTCCTTGTGCTTGCCCTTGAGCTTTTTGGGGTCCTCCACCCAGAGGCGCAGCGCCAGCGCCGGGTCCAGCCCCGCGTCCTCCTCGGCCAACTCCACGCGCAGCCCCGTGTCCTCGGCGAAGAACGCGTGGTCCAGCAGGTCCCGGATGGACAGCCTGGCGTGGAGGTGTGGTCAGTGTGGTCAGTGTGGTCAGTGTGGTCATCCTAGGGGGCCACCAGGCCCCAGGCCACCACCCCACCCACCTCTCAGCCTTGTTCTGCCGGATGCAGCCCTCGATGATCTCCTTCACCTCGGGGTCCGTCACCTTGTTGAAACTCGCCGGCTTGATGCCCTGTGGGGGGACACGGTGACTTGGGGGGCTCTGAGGGGGCTTTGGGGAGGTTTGGGGGTCTCAGGGGCTGGTGGGACACCCACGCTGGTGACTTTGCGGTAGATCTGGGCGGCGTTCTGGCACTCGGAGTAGGGGTACTCGGAGGTGCCCATCTCCAACATGCACATCCCGAAGGCGTAGACGTCCACGGACTCGTCGTAGCGCTCCTCGTACATCTCGGGGGCCATGAACTCGGGGGTCCCTGTGGGGTGGGCGGTCAGGGGGGCTCCTCAGGGGCGTCCCCGAGGTCCCCACGGCGCTCACCGATGACGCTCTTGGCGAAGGACGTGCGCATGAGCGTGGCCAGCCCCAGGTCGCCGATCTTGACGGAGCCGGTGGGGCCGGTGATGAAGATGTTGTCGCACTTGAGGTCGCGGTGGATGATGGGCGGCGTCCTCGTGTGCAGGAACTGCAGCCCCTTCAGGATCTGCCGGCACCAGCTCCGCAGCACCTTCGGCTTCATCACCTTGAACCTCTTGAGGTACCTGTGGGGTCCCATCAGCCACGCCCAGACCCCCCCACGCCGTTCCCTCGCGCCCCCAACTCACGTCTTGAGGGTTCCTGAGGTCATGAGCTCGGTGACGAGGACGATGCACTTCTTGCCGCGGAGCGAGGACTCCCAGGAGTCGTAGAAGCGGACGATGTTGGGGTGCTGCAGCCCCTTGAGCATCTCGGCCTCCTCCTTGAAGCGCTGCTGCTCCGCCTTGGTCAGCTTGCGGTCCTGGGGGGCACAGACACACCCCAAAGTCCAGCAGCGGCGTTGGCTCCGGGCTCCAGGGTCAGTGTTAGCAGCCCCCAGCCCCGGGATCATCATCATCATCGCCTTCATCATCATTCTCCAGCCCCAGGATCATCATCATCATGATGCCTAAACCTCAGGCCCGTTGACAGCACCATGGTCGTCATCCTCCAACTCCAGTATCATCATCATCATCATCATCACCATCAACCCCAAATTCCAGGGTTGTTGTTATCATCATCATCATCATCCCCATCCCCAAATTCCAGGGTCATCATCATCATCATCATCCCCATCCCCAAATTCCAGGGTCATCATCATCATCATCATCCCCATCCCCAAATTCCAGGGCCATCATCATCATCATCATCATCACCATCAACCCCAAATTCCAGGGTTGTTGTTATCATCATCATCATCATCACCATCAACCCCAAATTCCAGGGTTGTTGTCATCATCATCATCATCCCCATCCCCAAATTCCAGGGTCATCATCATCATCATCACCATCAACCCCAAATTCCAGGGTTGTTGTTATCATCATCATCATCATCATCATCCCCAAATTCCAGGGTTATCATCATCATCCCCATCCCCAAATTCCAGGGTCATCATCATCATCCCCATCCCCAAATTCCAGGGTCATCATCATCATCATCATCATCACCATCCCCAAATTCCAGGGTTGTTGTTATCATCATCATCATCATCCCCATCCCCAAATTCCAGGGTCATCATCATCATCATCATCACCATCAACCCCAAATTCCAGGGTTGTTGTCATCATCATCATCCCCATCCCCAAATTCCAGGGTTGTTGTTATCATCATCATCATCATCATCCCCATCCCCAGATTCCAGGGTTGTTGTTATCATCATCATCATCCCCATCCCCAAATTCCAGGGTCATCATCATCATCATCATCATCATCACCATCAACCCCAAATTCCAGGGTTGTTATCATCATCATCATCATCATCATCATCCCCAAATTCCAGGGTCATCATCATCATCCCCATCCCCAAATTCCAGGGTCATCATCATCATCATCATCACCATCAACCCCAAATTCCAGGGTTGTTGTTATCATCATCATCATCCCCATCCCCAAATTCCAGGGTTGTTGTCATCATCATCATCATCCCCATCCCCAAATTCCAGGGTTGTTGTTATCATCATCATCATCCCCATCCCCAAATTCCAGGGTTGTTGTCATCACCATCATCATTATTCTCCAATCCCAGTATCACCATCATCCCCAAACCTCAGAAACATTGCCAGCATCACCACCACCATCATCATCATCATCATCATCCCCCAACTCCAGGGTCATCATCCTCACCCTCAAACTCCATCATCATCATCCTCACCCCCAGTTCCAGCTTTGGGGGACAAGTGGCTCAGTTTGGGGGAATCGATGGGATTTGGGGTGGCTGTGGGGGGCAGAGGTGGGAGGGGGGTGAACTGTGGGGGTCGTGGTGAATTTGCGGCCTCAATTTGAGGGGTCAGACAGGGGGTTCATGATGAATTTTGGGGTGTCCCTATCTTTGGGAGGGGCTCAAGGCGAGCTGAAAGGCTCATGGGTGGATTTTGGAGATCACTGATATGGGAAGAACCTCAAGATGAGTTTGAGGAACCAATCGCAGCTTTGAAAGGGCTTCACATCAATTTGAGGGGCCAGTCAAGGGGTTCATGCTGAATTTTGGGGTGTCTGAGTTTGGGGGGGTTCAGGGTGAGCTCAAAGGACCAGCTGTGGGATTCAAGGGTGGATTTGGGGATCACAGATATCAGAAGAGCCTCAAGCTGAGTTTGAGGAGCCACTCACAGCTTTGAAAGAAGCTCAACACCAACTTGAGAAGCAAATCAGCCACTTCACCACAAATTTTGGGGTGTCCCCATCTTCTAAAGAGCCTCAAACCCCCCCCAAAACCTCACTACACAACCGCCCCATCCGATATCCCAAAAGAAGCCAAATTTCACCTCCCACCCACCAACTCCCGACCCCCAGACCCCCCTAAAACTCACCCCTCACCCCGCTCAGGGCTCACCTGCAGCTCACACCAGGCCACCTCCACCCAGGTGTCGGTGTCGAATCCCTTGAACACCGTCTTGAAGGCGCCGCGTCCCAACTCGATGTCGAACTTGAGGAAGCGGCCACCGGGCGAGGTGGCCACGGCCTTCATCTCCGCCTCCTCCTCCTCGCCCCCCCCGAGCCGGGGGTCGCCCCTCGGGCCGGGGTCTCCGCCGCGCTCCCCCCGCTCCTCCTCCTCCAGCACCTCCACGCTCTTGCGGAAGAAGCGTTTTGGGGGGGCGGGGGGGGACGTGGAAGTTTTGGGGTCCCCCAAATCGGCGGCCATGGTTGTCCCCACTCCCCCCCACCCACCCGAAAATTTTAGGGGGTGACCCCCCCTCCCCCGGCCGCCCCCTTGCCAGGCTGCCCCTATGGATAGGGGGGGGAGGGGGCCGCGTGTCCGGGGGTGGTTTAAGGGGTCTGGTGGGGGGGTTCACCTCGATTTTAGGGGTGTCCCCCCCTCGGGTGGCACCGGCGGTGGTCGCGTCACCCCCTCCCCCGCGGGGGGGGGACCTGCGTGGGAGACAAAGAGGCTTCGGTGGGGCTGGGGGGGCAATCGGGGGGGTGGGAGGATGTAATTAATAAGGGCAGCGGTGTTAATTGGGGGGGTCCCCGAAATCTGGGGGGGGTGGAAGCATCCCCCCGCCCCCCCCCCCGCACAGCGGCTGCTCTTCCTGCGGAGGAAGGACTTCCGGGGGCAGCCCCCCCCCCCAAAAAGGATGCTACAGGTACGACCGCCCCCAAAGATGCCATAGGTACCCTCGGGTGCTCTGGGTACCCCCAAGGACACTATAGGGACCCCCCCAAGGATGCCATAGGTACCCTCGGGCCCCCCCGGGTGCCACAGGTACCCCCCCAGGATGCCACAGGTACCTCAGCCTCCCCTGCTGTGGGACCCCCCCTATGTGCCCAGTTGTGACCCCTATAGCCGCTTTGGACCACCCCCTATAGCCCCCCCCCCCCCAGTTCCTGTGTGTCCCCTATAGCGCCCCCATAGAGCCCCCCCAGCTCCTAAAGCCCCTCTATCCCCCCACAGAGCCCCCCAACCCCTACAGCCCCGATACTCCCCATTGATCTCCCCAGCCTCTAAAGCCCCTGTGCCCCCCTAGACCCCATAGAGCCCCCCAGCCTCTAAAGCCCCCCTACCCCATAGAGCCCCCCAGCCCCTATAGCCCCCCACATCCCTCCAGCCCCTGTGTGTCCCCCACCCCCTATAGTACCCCCATATCCCCCTGTGCCCCCATATCTCCCCATATCCCCCCGTGCCCCATATCCCTCCTATGCCCCCATATCCCCCCATGCCCCATATCCTCCCAGAGCCACCTGTACCCCATATCCCCCCCGTGCCCCATATCCCACCCAGAGCCACCTATGCCCCCATATCCCCCCAGAGGCACCTCTGCCCCCATATCCCCCCATGTCCCCCCATGCCCCATATCCCCCCAGAGCCACCTGTGCCCCATATCCCCCCATGCCCTCATATCCCCCCAGAGCCACCTGTGCCCCCATATCCCCCCATATCCCCCCATATCCCCCCATGCCCCATATCCCCCCAGAGCCACCTGTACCCCCATATCCCCCCATGTCCCCCCATGCCCCATATCCCCCCAGAGCCACCTGTACCCCATATCCTCCCTGTGCCCCATATCCCCCCAGAGCCACCTGTACCCCATATCCCCCCAGAGCCACCTGTGCCCCCATATCCCCCCATGCCCCATATCCCCCCATATCCCCCCAGAGGCACCTGTACCCTCATATCCCCCCAGAGCCACCTGTGCCCCCATATCCCCCCTGTGCCCCAAATCCCTCCTGTGCCCCAAATCCCCCCAGAGCCACCTATGCCCCCATATCCCCCCGTGCCCCATATCTCCTCATATCCCCCCGTGCCCCATATCCCCCCGTACCCCATATCCCCTCATGCCCCATATCCCCCCATGTCCCATATCCCCCCAGAGCCACCTGTGCCCCCATATCCCCCCATGCCCCATATCTCCCCATATCCCTCCTGTGCCCCCATATCCCCCCGTGCCCCATATCCCCCCATATCCCCCCATGCCCCATATCTCCCCATATCCCCCCATGCCCCATATACCCCCAGAGCCACCAGTATCCCATATCCCTCCTGTGCCTCCATATCCCCCCGTGCCCCATATCCCACCCAGAGCCACCCGTGCCCCCATATCCCCCCAGAGCCACCTGTACCCCATATCCCCCCCATGCCCCATATCCCCCCTGTGTCCCATATCTCCCCATATCCCTCCTGTGCGCCCATATCCCCCCGTGCCCCATATCCCCCCATATCCCCCAGAGCCACCTGTGCCCCATATCCCCCCATGCCCCATATCCCCCCTGTGTCCCATATCTCCCCATATCCCTCCTGTGCGCCCATATCCCCCCGTGCCCCATATCCCCCCATATCCCCCAGAGCCACCTGTGCCCCATATCCCCCCATGTCCCCATATCTCCCCATATCCCTCCTGTGCCCCATATCCCCCCGTGCCCCATATCCCCCCATGCCCCATATCCCCCCATATCCCCCCATATCCCCTCACAGCCCCTGGCCCCCACCCTCACCCACGTCACGTGACCGCCGCCGCGCGGGGGCTGTCGGGAGCTGTAGTCCCGTTCTGCCCCGAGGCCCCGCCCCCAGGCGCCCATGGATGATTCGGGGATCGCTCCGTGCCTCGCTCGCTCGCGGGTTCGGCGCTCGGCCGCGCGGCCTGCGCAGCGCCGTCATGGCGGCGCCCGGGGTGGAGGCGCGGGCGCTGTTCGCGGAGGGGGTGCGCGCCGTGCTGGGGGGATGGGCGGCGCTGCAGGTGAGGGACACACCTGGTGACACTTGCGGGGGACACTGGGGGATCTGCGAGCTGTGCTGAGGGCGTGGGCGGCGCTGCAGATGAGGGGGGACAGCGTGCGGGAGCTCCGGGAGGCACTTGGGGACACGGACGGGGCACCCCGGGGACAGCGCCGGGTGTCCCCATGTCCCCCCCGGGCTGTCCCCACAGCTGGCGGTGGCGCAGGGCTTCGGGGGGCCGCAGGGTCCCGAAAAGGCCGCGTGGCTCAGCTCGGCGTTGCTCGATTTCTTCACGCAGAACGGTGCGTGCTGCCCCTCCCCCACCCCGGGGGGAGGGAGGGTCGGGGGGGGAGGGGCAGAGGTGACAACCCCCCCCTCAATCCCCCCCATCCCCCCCCAGCTGACCTGGAGCAGGAGGAGGTGGAGGATTTCCTGGCCGAGGTGATGGACAACGAGTTCGACACGGTGGTGGAGGATGGCAGCCTGCAGCAGGTGGGCTCCCAGTATGGACCAGTATGGACCAGTATGGACCAGTGTGCTCCCAGCAGCTGGCCAGCCTCCCCCAGGCACTCCCAGTACAGCCCAGTTTGTCCTCGGGCTGCTCTCAGCATCTTTCAGGGGCCTTTGGCCCTTCCTGGTACCCTTGGTGCATTCCCAGGTGCTCCCAGTATAAACCAGTATGGACAAGGATGTTCCCAGTAGCCACTTCCACTTCATCCCGTTCCATCCCCAGACTGTTGCTACCATCCTTCAGTGCTCCCAGAGCCTCCCAGTACATCCCAGTCCCACACATCACCCCTCAGCATCCCCCACACCCATCCCAGTCCATCCCAGTTACCTCCCCAGTCCCACACTATCCTCTCAGCATCCCCCACACCCATCCCAGTCCATCCCAGTCCATCCCAGTCCATCCCAGTTACCTCCCCAGTCCCACACTATCCTCTCAGCATCCCCCAGACCCATCCCAGTCCATCCCAGTCCATCCCAGTCCATCCCAGTTACCTCCCCAGTCCCACACTATCCTCTCAGCATCCCCCAGACCCATCCCAGTCCATCCCAGTCCATCCCAGTCCATCCCAGTTACCTCCCCAGTCCCACACTATCCTCTCAGCATCCCCCACACCCATCCCAGTCCATCCCAGTCCATCCCAGTACATCCCAGTTACCTCCCCAGTCCCACACATCACCCCTCAGCATCCCCCAGACCCATCCCAGTCCATCCCAGTCCATCCCAGTTACCTCCCCAGTCCCACACATCGCCCCTCAGCGTCCCCCACACCCATCCCAGTCCATCCCAGTCCATCCCAGTTACCTCCCCAGTCCCACACATCGCCCCTCAGCGTCCCCCATACCCATCCCAGTACATCCCAGTCCATCCCAGTCCATCCCAGTCCATCCCAGTGTCCCCGCAGGTGAGCCGGGAGCTGCTGACCCTGTTTGCCCGGGCGCGGGGTGGGGACGTGGGGGGCGTGGGGGCGGCCCTGGGGGCTCTGGCCCGCCGTGGCCCCGCCCTGGCCGCCGCCCTGGCCACCGCCCGCCCCGGGGGAGACCCCCAGAGCCCCCCCGGGACCCCCCCCACGGCCCCCCGGAGCCCCCCGGAGCGAGGGCAGGAGGAGGAGGAGGAGAGCGGCGAGGAAGAGGAGGAGGTGAGGGGGTGACGTCACTGTGATGATGTCATGGGGAGCTGATGATGTCACCAAAGGGGGTGGGGATGTGGTGATGACATCATGGGGTGTAACTGAGGGGATACTGATGATGTCATTAAATTGGGGGGGGTGACTCCCAAGGACCCCCAAATGAGGAGGGGCTGGGGGTGATGATGTCATTCCTGATGATGTCATTCGGTCCTGATGATGTCATCAAACGGGGAGAAACGGGGGGGGGGAAGCTGGGATGGGGGTGGGGGCAGTGATGGTGTCACCAAATTTAGGGAGAGGGACCCCCCAGGACCCCTGTGACGGGAGGGGAGGGGCACTGATGATGTCACCAAGGGGGGGTGACACTGATGACGTCATTGTCCCCCCCAGGCCATGGAGTGCGGGACGCCCCCGCCCCCCTCGGACGGCTGGACCGTGGTGCAGCGGCGGCGGCGGCGATGATGGGGGGAGGGGTGTCCTGTGTGTCCCCCCCCCAGCTTGGGGGACACCCCTCCCCCACCCTGCTCCCCAAACTGGGGGGGAATAAAGGCCCCTCCCCCCACGGGGTGTGGGAAGAGGAGCTGTGTGATTTTTGGAGGGAGGGGTCGCTTAGAGAGCCCCCGGCCCCGCTGTGGATCCCTCTGCGACCCCAGAGATCCCTCCCAGTATAACCCAGTCCCTCCCAGTTTAACCCTGTCCCATAACCCAGTCCCTCCCAGTTTAACCCTGTCCCATAATCCAGCCCCTCCCAGTTTAACCCTGTCCCATAACCCAGTCCTTCCCAGTTTAACCCTGTCCTATAACCCAGTCCCTCCCAGTATAACCCAGTCCTTCCCAGTATAACCATCTCCTATAACCCAGTCCCTCCCAGTATAACCCAGTCCCTCCCAATATAACCCTGTCCCATAACCCAGCCCCTCCCAGTATAACCCAGTCCTTCCCAGTTTAATCCTTTTCCTCCCAGTATAACCCAGTCCCTCCCAATATAACCCTGTCCCAGAACCCAGCCCCTCCCAGTCTAACCCAGTACCTCCCAGTTTAACCTTGTCCTATAACCCAGTCCCTCCCAGTTTAACCCAGTCCCCCCCCAGTTTAACCCTGTCCCATAACCCAGCCCCTCCCAGTTTAACCCAGTCCCTCCCAGTTTAACCCTTTCCCATAACCCAGTCCCTCCCAGTATAACCCAGTCCCTCCCAATATAACCCTGTCCCATAACCCAGTTCCTCCCAGTTTAACCCAGGCCCCCCCCAGTTTAACCCTGTCCTATAACCCAGACCCTCCCAGTATAACCCAGTCCCTCCCAGTATATCCCTGTCCCATAACCCAGCCCCTCCCAGTATAACCCTGTCCCATAACCCAGTCCCTCCCAGTTTAACCCAGTCCCCCCCCCAGTTTAACCCTGTCCTATAACCCAGTCCCCCCCAGTACAACCCAATCCCCCCAGTTTAACCCAGTCCCTCCCAGTACAACCCAGTCCCTCCCAGTACAACCCAATCCCCCCAGTTTAACCCAGTCCCTCCCAGTTTAATCCTTTTCCTCCCAGTACAACCCAATCCCCCCAGTTTAACCCAGTCCCCCCCAGTATAACCAACACAGTCCCTCCCAGTACAACCCAATACCCCCTAGTTTAACCCAGTCCCTCCCAGTTTAACCCAGTCCCCCCCAGTATAACCCAATCCCCCCAGTATAACCCAGTACCCCCCAGTTTAACCCAGTCCCTCCCAGTACAACCCAGTCCCTCCCAGTACAACCCAGTCCCTCCCAGTACAACCCAGTCCTTCCCAGTTTAATCCTTTTCCACCCAGTATAACCCAGTCCCTCCCAATATAACCCTGTCCCATAACCCAGCCCCTCCCAGTTTAACCCAGTACCTCCCAGTTTAACCTTGTCCTATAACCCAGTCCCTCCCAGTTTAACCCAGTCCCTCCCCAGTTTAACCAACCCAGTCCCCCCCAGTACAACCCAATACCCCCTAGTTTAACCCAGTCCCTCCCAGTACAACCCAATCCCCCCCAGTTTAACCCAGTCCTTCCCAGTTTAATCCTTTTCCTCCCAGTTTAACCCAGTCCCTCCCAGTATAACCCAGCCCCTCCCAGTGCCCCGCCCCTCGCCCAGCCCCGCCCACCATGGCGGCCGCTCTGAGGCCTCCAGTGCAGTGAGGGGCGTGGCTTTCTCACCGCGCGTTGCGATTGGTTGTACTTCTCACGGGTGGGAACGCCCCTCACCTTTCTCACGTGGTGATTGGTTGGCGACAGCGGAGGCGAGCAGCGATTAGCCAGCTAGACTTAAACCGGGTGTGCGCGGGCGCTGATTGGCCGCCTGCGCTCGGGTGGGCGGGGCGAGGCGGAGGGCGGGAAGGCGCGGCGGCGATGGCGGCGCGGCTGGAGCGCGCGAGGGGGTGAGCGCGCGACCCCCCCCCCCAGGGCGGGAAATCCTGAGGGGCGCCCGGCCGCCATCTTGGGCCGGGCGCGCCCCCACCACCCTGTGCGGGCCTCGGGGGGTTCACTGGGTGCTATTGGGGTCCCTAAAGTGTCACCGGGTCCTCACGGGCTCCCTGGGGTGACTCCCAGCCCCTCAGGGAGCGCTGCAGTGTGTCCGTGCCCTCGCACCTATCCCGGGGTCTTGGGGAGGGAGGGGGGTCACCGAGTGGTCTCCTCATCCCCGAGGGGATCTCTGGGAGCCCACGCGTGTCCGAGAAGGTTGTTTCCACTCGTGTCAGGGGGATCTCCTTGTTCCTGGAGGTGTCTGGGGGATGTCCCTTTCATCCCCACCCGTGTCCCGTGTCCCCAGGGCGCTGGCAGCGCTCGAGGCTGCCCTGGCCTTGGAGGAGGAGGAAGGTGATATCCCCACCCGGGTCCTGGTGGAACATCAAATGGTGAGACCCCAAAGCTGCCCCCCAGCACCTCAGAATAGACCTGCAGCATCCACATCTGCCCCACAGCTGTCCTTGACCTCCCCATTTGCTCCCTAACGCCCCCACATCTGCCCTAAAATTACTTGTGACCCCCCCCCCCCAAATTTCTCACAAACCCCCTATCTGGCCTTGATTCTTTTAATGACTCCCATATTTATCCCCTAAACCTTCCCAACTGCCCTATTTTCTGTCATCCTCTCCGCCCCCATGTATTCCTCAAAAATTTTCCCCCCAATTCACCCCTCCACACCCCATTTTCCCCCACAACTCTAACGCCTTGCTCTGTGATCTTCCCCAACTCCCTTGGCACCCCAAATCACCCCTGACACCCCAAACCTGTCCCCCAGGACACCCGGCGGAAGCAGAAGCTGCTCCTGTCCCAGCTCCGGGTGCTGAAGCTGCTCCTGGGGGTCATCGAGAACCCGGGGGTGCCCCCAGCCACCACCAACCTGCGTGAGCCCCCAAACCCCCTGACCCCCTAAACTGAACCCCAAATGCCCCTGAGCCTCCAAACTGAACCCAGAGCTGCCCTCAGCCTGTATGAGCCCCCCCAAACTCCTGCGTTGACCCTGGACCCCAAAACCCCTTGCCCTTCCTTGTCCACTTTGGGGGTTCCTGCGTCCCCTTTGGGGCAGGGGTTTGGGGGTTCCTGTGACCAGTTTGGGGGTTCCTGGGTCCCCCTTTGGGGCAGGGGTTTGGGGGTTCCTGTGACCAGTTTGGGCGTTCCTGGGTCCCCCTTTGGGGCAGGGGTTTGGGGGTTCCTGTGACCAGTTTGGGGGTTCCTGCGTCCCCCTTTGGGGCAGGGGTTTGGGGATTCCTGTGACCAGTTTGGGGGTTCCTGGGTCCCCCTTTGGGGCAGGGGTTTGGGGGTTCCTGTGACCAGTTTGGGGGTTCCTGCGTCCCCTTTGGGGCAGGGGTTTGGGGGTTCCTGTGACCAGTTTGGGGGTTCCTGGGTCCCCCTTTGGGGCAGGGGTTTGGGGGTTCCTGTGACCAGTTTGGGGGTTCCTGGGTCCCTCTTTGGGGCAGGGGTTTGGAAGTTCCTGGGTCCCCTTTGGGGGTTCCTGGGTCCCCCTTTGGGGCAGGGGTTTGGGGGTTCCTGTGACCAGTTTGGGGGTTCCTGGGTCCCCCTTTGGGGCAGGGGTTTGGGGGTTCCTGTGACCAGTTTGGGGGTTCCTGGGTCCCCTTTGGGGCAGGGGTTTGGGGGTTCCTGTGACCAGTTTGGGGGTTCCTGGGTCCCCCTTTGGGGCAGGGGTTTGGAAGTTCCTGGGTCCCCTTTGGGGGTTCCTGGGTCCCCTTGGGGCGGGAGCTCAGGGGATATTTGGGGATTCCCATACATCTAAGTCCTGCTTGGGGATTTCCTGGCACCCCTTTGGGAGGGATTGGTGATTCCCAAGTCCCTTTTGGGGGGCTGATGTGGGGCTCCCCCAGGCGAGGCGGCGGCGCAGGCGCGGGGGCGCTGGCAGGAGCTGAAGGCGAGGTACGGGGGGGCCCTGGGGGAGGCCGTGCCCCCCGCCCTGGCCCAGCTGCACCGGGGCCAGCAGCTGCTGCAGCGCGGGAGGGCGGCCCTGGGGGCACGGCTGGAACAGGTACGGGGGTTCCAGGGGGGCTGGGGGGGTGCAGTGGGTTCAGGGGGGCTGGAGCTTCCAGGAGTGCTAGGGGGTTGGGGTCCCTGGGGGCACAGTGTGGGTCTTGAGGGTCCCTTGGGTGCTGGGGGGCAGATTGTGGGTTCTGGGTGGTTCTATGGGTGCAGGGGGGTTGGGGGCACAGTGTGGGTCTGGGGGCTCCCATTGGGGTTGGGGCCACAGTGTGGGTCTGGGGGTTGGGGGCACAGTGTGGGTCTGGGGGCTCCCATGGGGGTGGGGTCACAGTGTGGGTCTGGGGGCTCCCATGGGGGTTGGGGGCACAGTGTGGGTCTGGGGGCTCCCATGGGGGTTGGGGGCACAGTGTGGGTCTGGGGGTTGGGGGCACAGTGTGGGTCTGGGGGCTCCCATGGGGGTTGGGGGCACAGTGTGGGTCTGGGGGCTCCCATGGGGGTTGGGGCACAGTGTGGGTCTGGGGGCTCCCATGTTGGGGTCACAGTGTGGGTCTGGGGGCTCCCATGGGGGTGGGGTCACAGTGTGGGTCTGGGGGCTCCCATGGGGGTTGGGGTCACAGTGTGGGTCTGGGGGTTGGGGGCACAGTGTGGGTCTGGGGGCTCCCATGGGGGTTGGGGTCACAGTGTGGGTCTGGGGGTTGGGGTCACAGTGTGGGTCTGGGGGCTCCCATGGGGGTTGGGGGCACAGTGTGGGTCTGGGGGCTCCCATTGGGGTTGGGGGCACAGTGTGGGTCTGGGGGCTCCCATGGGGGTTGGGGGCACAGTGTGGGTCTGGGGGCTCCCATGGGGGTTGGGGACACAGTGTGGGTCTGGGGGTTGGGGGCACAGTGTGGGTCTGGGGGCTCCCATGGGGGTTGGGGGCACAGTGTGGGTCTGGGGGCTCCCATGGGGGTTGGGGGCACAGTGTGGGTCTGGGGGCTCCCATGGGTGCTGTCTCTCCATCTCCTCCCCCAGCAAGAAGAGCTGAAGGTGAAGGTGCGTGAGGCCACAGAGAGGCGGGACCAGGTGAGACTGGGGGGACACCCTTTGGGGTCCCCCTGCCACATGGGGGCTCCTGGTGGTCCCACTTACCTTGGGGTGCCCTTGCCCACAGGAGGGTCCATTCTGGGGTTCCTTCCCTCTTCAGGTCTTATCTCCTTCTTCCCCCTTTGGTGTCTACCCCCAATTTGGGATCTCTTTCCTCTGCACTCTGGGGTCTTTTTCTCCCCAAATTTGGGGTCTTTTCCTTTCCAAATTCGAGCTTGTCTTGCCTAGTTTGGCATCTCTTTCCCTCTGAATTGCGGTCTCATTCTCTCCCAGTCTGAAGGATTTTTCCCCCCCAATTTGGGGTCTCTTTCCCCTCTGATTTGGGGCTTTTTCCCCCCAATTTGGGGTCTCTTTGCCCCCAAATTTGGGGTCTCTTTCCCCTCTGATTTGGGGCTTTCCCCCCCCAATTTGGGGTCTCTTTTCCCCCCCAATTTGGGGTCTCTTTCTCCCCCACAAGCTGCTCCGGCGGGTTCAGGAGCGGCGCCTGCAGCAGCTCGGCCGGCGGGAGGCATTGCAGGGACTGCGGGAGACAGCGGCCAGGTGAGGGGGGGACAGGTGAGGGGGTCATTGGGGGGTAGGATATGGAGTTGGGGGCTCCTGGGATTTTGGGGAGTGGTCTAGGGGTCCTGAGAGGGACCCAGGAGTTTGGGGAGGGGATCTCCAATGTGAGGGAGGGGTCCTCAGGGTGGGGGAGAGCCCTGGAAGGGACCCAGTGGGGGTCCAGGTGGGGCTGCTGGGATAGTGGGGAGGATCCAGGGAATTTTGGGGGGGTGGGCATGTCCTCCCCACCCATGGGCTGTTGTTTCCCGCAGGGTGGGGGCCTCGTGCCACCTGTACCAGGCCCTGGCGGGGGTCCAGGTGCTGCCCCCCTCCCCAGGGACCCCCGAGCTGGAGCTGGAGCTGGGACCCCCTCCTGGCTCCTCCCATTCCCTGCCCCCCCTTCACCTGTGCCTCACCCGTAGTGGGGAGGTCCAACTGCAGGTGAGTGGCTTAGGGGAGATTTTGGGGGCTGGGGAGGATTTGGGTGCTTGGGGGGGTGGGAATCGGGGGCTGAGGGGGCACTGAGAGGGCTTGGAGGGGATTTAGGGTAGCACTTGGACAGCTGGGAGGCAGAATTTTTGGGGGTCAGGAAGGCTGTGGGTGTGCACTTGGGGGCTGGGGACTGATCTGGAGGTGTCGGGGGGGTTCTGGGTGGTTTTGGGGTCTCACCACCTCCTCCTTTTCCCCCCAGGAACCCCCCCTGGGGCTGCCCCCTCCCTTGGGCCCAGGGCTGCTGGAGCTGCAGCAGCGCTGCTGGGAGAGCTGGAGCCTCTGGGCAGAGGTGACACACCTGAGGAGCAGGTGAGGGGGGCTGGGGGGGGGTCTTTGAGGGAATTTGGGGGGCTGGGGGGAGTTGGGGGGTCTTTGGTGTAGGTCTGAAGGGTCTAGGGGGTAATTGCAAGGGGTAGGGGCATTTGGGAGTTAACTGGGGGGGCTGTGGGAGAGTTTGGGGGGTCTTTGTAGAAGGTTAGGGGGTCTTTGGAGCAGTTCTGGGGGGTTTTAGGGTAATTGCCAGGGTGGGGGGGCTGGGGGTTAATTGGGGGGCTCACCCAAGCCCCTGGTGACCCCCCAGGTTTGCCCTGGACTGGCAGCCGGAGTTGGGGCTCCTGCAGGTCCTGGGGGGACCCCGGGGCGCCCAGACCCTCTGGACGCTGCAGCTGGAGCCGGGGTACCCCCAGAGCGGGGGGGTGCGACTGCTGCCCCCCGCCAAGGGGGCCCCCCCCATCCCCGTGAGTCCTTTGGGGGTCCTTCAGAGGGGATTAGGGGGGTCTGTGGGACAGGTTTAGGGATCCAGGGGCAATCTGGGGGGTCCTGGGGGGAGGTCTAAGGGCAATTTTGGGGGTCCCAGGGACACTTGGAGATCCTGGGGGGTCACGTGGGGGTCACTGAGGGCAACTTTGGGGGTCCCAGAGACACTTGGAGATCCTGGGGGTGGTTTTAAGGTCCCGGGGGGGTCACTTGGGGGTCACTGAGGGCAATATGTAGGGGTCCCTGAGCCAATGGGGGTTCCTGGGGGTGGTTTTGGGGTCACTGGGTGGGTCTGAGGGCAATTTAGGGGGGTCCCAGAGGCACTTGGGCATCCCAGGGGTGGTTTTAAGATTCTTGGTGGGTTTGGGGGGGCACTGGGAGGGTCCTGGGAGTGATCCCCCCAAATCCCCTTTTCCTCCACAGGCACCCCCAGACCCCCCCACTCTGACACGGTGGCTGGAGCTGCTGGTGGGGGAGGTCCCTGAAAATGGGGGATCCCCCTCTATCCCCCCCCCATAAAAAACCCCACTGCAAATAAACTCATGGCCACCCCTTCTCCAGCTCTGTCTCACCCAACAAAAACCCATTTATGGGGGTTTGCAGGAGCGGCTTTATTGTGGGGAGGGGGTTCTGGGGGTCAGGGGTTTTGGGGTGCCAGGGGTCCCCCAATCTGGGGGTCCCTACGGGGGGGGGTCGGCACCGCGCCGCTTGGGCTGGTTGCGCTCGGGGTGCAGCAGGATCACGTAGACTTTGGGGGCGTAGAGGAGCCCCAGCGGCACCGAGGCCGACAGCGACATGGACACCGTCAGCGTGGCCGTCTGCACGTGCACCTGCACCCCAAAAACGGTACCCTAAAAACCCCCAAATCCTCCATCCCAAATCCCACTGACCCCCCCCAAACCCAGCCAATCCCCAACCCAGCTGTCCCTTGGTCACCGTGGCCGTCTGTATGTGCACCTGCACCCCAAAAATGGTACCCTAAAAACCCCAAAATCCTCCATCCCAAATCCCACTGACCCCCCCAAACCCAGCCAATCCCCAACCCAGCTGTCCCAAGGGTCCATGGTCACCGTGGCCGTCTGCACGTGCACCTGCGCCCCAAAAACGGTACCCTAAAAACCCCAAAATCCTCCATCCCAAATCCCACTGACCCCCCCCCAAATCCAGCCAATCCCCAACCCAGCTGTCCCTTGGTCACCGTGGCCGTCTGTACGTGCACCTGCGCCCCAAAAACGGTACCCTAAAAACCCCCAAATCCTCCATCCCAAATCCCACTGACCCCCCCCAAACCCAGCTGTCCCCTGGTCACCGTGGCCGTCTGCACGTGCACCTGCACCCCAAAAACGGTACCCTAAAAACCCCCAAATCCTCCATCCCAAATCCCACTGACCTCCCCCAACCCAGCTGTCCCCTGGTCACCGTGGCCGTCTGTACGTGCACCTGCACCCCGAAAACGGTACCCTAAAAACCCCAAACTCCTCCATCCCAAATCCCACTGACCCCCCCCAAACCCAGCCAATCCCCAACCCAGCTGTCCCTTGGTCACCGTGGCCATCTGTACATGCACCTGCACCCCAAAAACGGTACCCTAAAAACCCCAAACTCCTCCATCCCAAATCCCACTGACCCCCCCCAAACCCAGCTGTCCCTTGGTCACCGTGGCCGTCTGTACGTGCACCTGCACCCCAAAAACCGTACCCCAAAATCCTACTGACCCCGAAAGCAGGAAATCTCAAATCCCACTGATGCCCAAATGGCTAAAGCCCATTGATCCCAAAACAGGGACCCCCCAGCGGACCCCCAAATACCCCTGAGGATCCCCCAAATCCCCCTCCTCACCTTCCCAGCCAACTGGGCTGTGCCAAAGATGGACTTGAAGGCGAGCCAGACCATGTGTGATCCCCCAAATACCTCCAGGGACACCCCCCAAATACCCTGAGAGACCTCCCAGCGATCCCCCAAACACCCCCAGGGACCCCAAAGCCCCCTCCTCACCCTCTCTGCCGACTGGGCGGCTCCGAAGAAGATGGGCCCGAAGGCCAGCCACACCACGCAGGTGGTGTACATGGCGAAGCCGATGGGTTTGGCCTCGTTGAAGTTCTCGGGGACGCCGCGCGCTTTGACGGCGTACACGGTGCAGGTGAGCATCAGCAGCAGGGCGTAGGCCAGGCAGGCCAGCGTGGCCCCCTCGGCCATGTCGCAGCGCAGGACCCCCCGCGCCGCCTCGGGGTCGGGGGTCCGGCCCATCTCGTAGTCGATGAGGGCGTGGGGTGGCCGGACCAGCAGCCAGGTGGCCGCGGCCAGCAGCTGCAGCCCGCTGAGCGTGAAGGTGATGACCAGCTGCGAGGTGGGGCTGATGAAGCGCGGCGGCGTCACCGAGCGCTTCCCTGCGGGGTGCAGCGGGTTATGGGGGGCTGCTGGCACCCCCAGAGCTCAACTGGCCTGAAGGGGTGGGAATTGGGGTACCCCGTGTCCCTCAGCCTGATCTGGAAGCCCAAAACTTTTGGAGGCCCTGAAGTCACCTCCCTTGGGGATGGGGCTAGTCTTGGTGAGGAGCACAGAGTGGGGACCCTGTCCCATGTCCCTCATGCAGCCCCTCACCCCAGGTTCCTGCCCCCCAGAGCCCCTCACCCCCACCCAGAGCCCCTCACCCACACCCAGAGCCCCTCACCCACACCCAGAGCCCATCACCCACACCCAGAGCCCCTCACCTCTGCCCAGAGCCCCTCACCTCTGCCCAGAGCCCCTCACCTCCACTCAGAGCCCCTCACCCACACCCAGAGCCCCTCACCCCCACCCAGAGCCCCTCACCCCCACCCAGAGTCCCTCACCTCTGCCCAGAGCCCCTCACCCCCACCCAGAGCCCCTCACCCCCACCCAGAGCCCCTCACCCACACCCAGAGCCCCTCACCTACACCCAGAGCCCCTCACCCCCGCCCAGAGCCCCTCACCCACACCCAGAGCCCCTCACCCACACCCAGAGCCCCTCACCTCTGCCCAGAGCCCCATACCCACACCCAGAGCCCCTCACCCCCATCCAGAGCCCCTCACCCACACCCAGAGCCCCTCACCTCCGCCCAGAGCCCCTCACCTACACCCAGAGCCCCTCACCTACACCCAGAGCCCCTCACCTACACCCAGAGACCCTCACCCCCACCCAGAGACCCTCACCCCCACCCGGAGCCCCTCACCCCCATCCAGAGCCCCTCACCCACACCCAGAGCCCCTCACCCCCACCCAGAGCCCCTCACCCACACCCAGAGCCCCTCACCCCCACCCAGAGCCCCTCACCCACACCCAGAGCCCCTCACCCCCACCCAGAGACCCTCACCCCCATCCAGAGCCCCTCACCCACACCCAGAGCCCCTCACCTCTGCCCAGAGCCCCTCACCTACACCCAGAGCCCCTCACCCCCATCCAGAGCCCCTCACCCCCATCCAGAGCCCCTCATCCCCATCCAGAGCCCCTCACCCACACCCAGAGCCCCTCACCCCCGCCCAGAGCCCCTCACCCCCATCCAGAGCCCCTCACCCACACCCAGAGCCCCTCACCCGCACCCAGAGACCCTCACCCCCACCCAGAGCCCCTCACCCCCACCCAGAGCCCCTCACCCGCACCCAGAGACCCTCACCCCCGCCCAGAGCCCCTCACCTACACCCAGAGCCCCTCACCCACACCCAGAGCCCCTCACCCACACCCAGAGCCCCTCACCTCTGCCCAGAGCCCCTCACCCCCACCCAGAGCCCCTCACCTCTGCCCAGAGCCCCTCACCTCTGCCCAGAGCCCCTCACCCACACCCAGAGCCCCTCACCCCCGCCCAGAGCCCCTCACCCCCACCCAGAGCCCCTCACCCACACCCAGAGCCCCTCACCTACACCCAGAGCCCCTCACCCCCGCCCAGAGCCCCTCACCCCCACCCAGAGCCCCTCAGCCCCACCCAGAGCCCCTCACCCACACCCAGAGCCCCTCACCCCCACCCAGAGCCCCTCACCCCCACCCAGAGCCCCTCACCCACACCCAGAGCCCCTCACCCCCATCCAGAGCCCCTCACCTCTGCCCAGAGCCCCTCACCCCCACCCAGAGCCCCTCACCCACAACCAGAGACCCTCACCCACAACCAGAGCCCCTCACCCCCGTCCAGAGCCCCTCACCCCCACCCAGAGCCCCTCACCCCCATCCAGAGCCCCTCACCCCCACCCAGAGCCCCATACCCCCACCCAGAGCCCCTCACCCCCACCCAGAGCCCCTCACCCCCGCCCAGAGCCCCTCACCCACACCCAGAGCCCCTCACCCCCATCTAGAGCCCCTCACCTCTGCCCAGAGCCCCTCACCCCCACCCAGAGCCCCTCACCCCCACCCAGAGCCCCTCACCTCTGCCCAGAGCCCCTCACCCACGCCCAGAGCCCCTCACCCCCACCCAGAGCCCCTCACCCACACCCAGAGCCCCTCACCCCCACTCAGAGGCCCTCACCCCCACCCAGAGCCCCTCACCTCTGTCCAGAGCCCCTCACCCCCACCCAGAGCCCCTCACCCACACCCAGAGCCCCTCACCCCCATCCAGAGCCCCTCACCCTCTCTTCTTACCCCACTGTGCCCCCGTGCCCCTCACTGTGCCCAAAGACGTGGCAACGCGGTGGCTCTTGGTGAGAGCATGGCACAGTTGAGACCCCAGCCCCTCACCCCGTGCCCCCCAGCCCCTCACCCCGTGCCCCCCAGCCCCTCACCCCGTGCCCCCAGCCCCTCACCCCGTGCCCCCCAGCCCCTCACCCCGTGCCCCCCAGCCCCTCACCCTGCTCGAAGATGCGGTAGATGCGGTTGGTCTTGGTCAGCAGCGCGGCGTAGGTCAGGCTCATGCCCATGCCCAGGAAGAGCCGCCGCAGGGCGCAGACCCCCACGCCGGGCTCGGCCACCATGAGGAAGGTGATGGCGTAGACCAGGGCGATGCCAACCAGCAGGACATAACTCAGCTCTCGCCCCGACGCTTTGACGATGGGCGTCTCGTGGTGCCGCACGAAGGTGACCAGCACGAAGGCGGTGGCCATCAGCCCCAGCGTGGCCAGGGCCAGCGGGACGGCGGCGCAGGGGTGGCCCCAGCTGAGGCGCAGCACAGGTGTGGGGCGGCAGGCGGTGCGGTTGGGCGTGGGGCGCAGGTGAGGGGCGCAGGGCAGGCAGGTCAGCAGGTCGGCCCGGTACTGGTAGCCCCCGCAGAGCTCGCAGTGCCAGCAGCACGGAACCCCCTTCACCGGCTTCTTGCGCTCGCCGGGGCCGCACGGCAGGCTGCACACCGAGGGCGGCGGCGACGACGAGTTGGAGCCCCAGGCCATGGCGTCCTCCTGGTGGGGGGACGGTCAGGGATACCCCAAACCTCCCCAGGAGCACCCCAAATACCCTAGGGACATCTTGAACACCCTAAGGACATCCCAACCCCTAGTGGGCACCTCATGGATCCCCCAAACCCTCCATGGACACCCCAAACCTCTTAATGGACCCTCCCAAAACCCCCATGGACACCAGAAACCCCCATGAAAAACCCAGACCCACCACAGACAACCCAAACCCT